GAAGGCACAATACCAACAAATTCTCTCTGTAGTTCCTAGACTGTCAAGTAAACATAGGGGTTGTTTTGCACTTGCTGCATATTTAATGAAGTTAAGAATAGGAGATAGTGACGAACGCATGTCAGCATTATTGCAAGTGCCAAGAAGCACATTAGAGCGGCTTATAAATATGGCCCGCGAAATAATTAATCAGGATTTTGTTCCTATGAATTTGGGCATAAATCATATATCCCGAGCAGAAATAGCTCAAAGAAATCTTCTCATTCCAAATGGACTTTATGGGGGAGAAAATAGGAGGCCTGTCATAATTGCCGATGGTACATATATATACATAGAAAAAAGTTCCAATTATTTATATCAGAAAAAAACTTACTCATTACACAAATATAGCAATCTTATAAAGCCTTTCCTTTTTTGTGTGTAGTGATGGTTACATCATAGATGTTTTAGGCCCTTATCCTGCAACAACCTCAGATGCGGATATCATAAAAAATGAATTTGGTAATGAATCCAGTTCATTAAGGCAATATTTTGAATCTGGAGATGTATTCATCCTAGATAGAGGCTTTAGGGATTCATTGCCTCTTTTAGAACATTGTGGTTATCAGGTTCATGTACCTTTGTCTCCACCCGATGGTGAATCTCAGTTAACGACTAGAGAAGCTAATAAGTCCAGAGCTGTGACTATATGTTGATGGGTAGTCGAGGTGGTGAATGGCATTTTTAAAACTCAATTTAAAATATTTCGCCAAAATTATTTTAACAGGGCTTCTAAACATTTGATGATAGACTTTGCTGTGGCTGCTGCTCTAATTAATAAATTCCACACTAAAATAAGGGACAGGGATGATGCGGCTCAAATACTTGAAATAGTTCACCAAAATATGGAGACAAATAATGATTTGTCTGAGTATGTTAGGGAACGAAATCTAAATAGAGCTAGGGCAGACTTTAGAAATATAAATGTAGACTCTGAAAATGTTAGGGAATTTCCTGTTTTAACTTACAGTGATTTAATATTAATTGCTTGTGGCACATACCAATTAAAGCAAGCTCGCTCCTATTATGGTGAGCATATTAGATTTAATGGTTGCTATCGGATAGAATTATGTAACAACCACAGGAGCAGCATTACGGAACGAATAAACTTTAGCCCTAGCTGCTCTTTACTTAGGGCTAGAATCGCAAGTCGACACATCAGTCGTAAAGTATATTTTATATATATTTTAATTAGTGGCAATGATTCTGGTAGAAGTGCAATTAAAAAGTATTGTTGCAATTGTATTGTCGGCCGTCGAACGGTAGGATGCTGTGCCCATGTTATGACAGTAATTTGGTATTTGGGTTGGGCACGGCATCAGTCTAATATTTCGCCTCCTGCTCAATTCCTGGATAATGTATTGATTGTGTGTGATACAAATGTTGTATAAGATTGTATATATAAGATAAGATTCTTCGTACGTGGTAGGGTCATGCTGCAGTTATAGTTGTAGCATGAATGGGTCGGCTCTACCAGGGAAGGACCACGCTCTCACAGAGTACCGGCGTAAAATAGTAGCTTAATGCTGCTGTGTTTCGGATAGGGAGTGTAGAGAACCAGAGACCCTGGCAACGAGGCATTCCATCCTAGTCCTCACGGGTGGCAACACATCTGTATTTTGATTCGTAATCGAGGATAGATGTTGATGTCTATGAGCCACAGCAACCACTTACCATCAGATGGACTGTGCGCTCGGTTGTCACGCTATCCTATAAAAAAATCATAAAATAAATTAAAGATCTGATCAAAACTTGATTATGATATTAGTTAGTTTACGACGGGCTGTTTTCCGCAACTCCACGTCTAAGCGTGTATTTTACGTGTGGGCAGGAATAATGTGATTACTAAAGGCAAGCAATAATAAAAAGTTATATATAATTCCTATAATATAATAATAATTAAGTTAATTTGCGTCAACCCCCCTTAATTCCCTTACACACATTAGTGTTTAGGAGAAAGGATGTGAGGCTAATGGGTCTCTAGGATTTAGAATTTGCGTATACACTCCTACCTGGTTTGGGTATGAATGTGACTTTCACTTTCATACCCAAACCCTTGGAACACATCTCATTATGACAACAAGTCTGCCTATTAAGGCCTTCCCCCCCACCACCACAGTAGGAGTGCTGGGAATCTGCTGACAGGTCCTGCTAGCTTATTGGGGAGGAAATTATGAATTTTTCCTGCGCCCTCTTTTCCCAAAAGAGGGTCGCTTCCGATACGGCATAAGAAGCTTAAACAGCCAGTTACCAGTCCCCAAAGGCGGTTTTTAGAGGGTATCACTTAGGTTCCCCCCGGTAGGCAGTGAGTCCCTCATAATCACGATAGACCGGCTATCGTGGTATGCGTAATGCATTTTCCGCCTCCCTTCATAAAGGGTAGCCCTTTCCAATTGCTTCGGGCGCAAAAAAAAAAAAACCAATGGATTTTATACATTGTTACCACTCTGTGCTAAATTCCATTCAGTGATTAGATATTATACTAGAGGCCAATAATTCCTTAGCATTCCCAGATGTGTTAGTCATCCGAAATTCTATTAACACCATAGGTTACACTGTATATAGAAAAAAGGCCCATACAAACCAATATTTAAACGGTGAATCTCACCATCATCCTTCACAGTTAGCTACCGTGGGCAACTCTTTGTTACAGAGAGCACAAGGGATCTGTGAGCGCAAACACCTGGCTGCCGAGCTTCAGCACGTCAAGCAAGTTCTGCACGACAACAAGCTTCGGGTCCCTCACCTATGTCACAGTGACCGAGTGAAGTCGGGCACAGTCGAGCATGTGCCTGCTGTACTACCATATTTCAGAGGTATTACGGACAAGATTGGCTACATCTTGAAGCGAGCTCCTATTAGAACATTCTACAAGCCGCTGAAGAAGATACATATAATATCAGATTTGATAGACCACAAATCCTCGCGAAAGAACATCGATTCCTGCCAAGGATTATATGTGAGGCTATTGAAATTAAAAACATTCTAATTTCAATAGAGAAGGAAGCTGGGTACTCCCACCTGTTTGGGACCCTGTAAATAATAAAATTAAAACTAAACCCAAGCATACCACGCAAGACTTCAAGACAGTAAGTTCATTCTGCATATATCGGACCATAAATAGTTATTAAAAAAGCTGAAGTTACTCCAAGTTAACACTGATTCGGTACATCAGTCACCTCAATCACCCATGACCATGTGTGCTGGAAAGCACCCGAAACGTCGAGAATTAAAAATCAAAGAAATTAAACACGATAAAATCGGTAAAATTAGTTGTTAAAAAACTGTATTTGTGAAAATAAAAACTTTTATATCTTAAAATTCCCGACTTTTTTTTAAACCAATTTCTTAACCATTTCATTCTTTTAATTGTATATTATCATATCTATATGCTTTTATATGTGGGCACCCATGGCCGAAATGTCTATGAAGAGTGGGCATTCCTCAATCAATCAGCTCAATAGCTTTTATTTTAGTAGCTGCAGACCATGGTGGTGGATAGAAATAAAACAAAACCTGGAATGTGACATTATATTATTGCGTTATATTAAAATCTAAAATCTATTTATACAAAGATCTGTTATTTGACAAATACTCACAACGTATTTGAACAATTAATATCTAGGTTTAGGTACTGTTCAGCGCGAGCCAATTTTTATAATATGACACAAATTTCAGAAGTAACAATTTACTAAGTACCTTCTCAATTCCATGTTTAATATCGTATTAACAATTTTCAGATCAAATCCATAAATCTTATAATTAATTTTGATTTAAATTTAATTTGAGAATAAGTTTTATACTTGTTTTTATAATTGGATATAAAAGCGATAGTTATATCTCACTTCATTTATTAAAAAACTTTTGGTAACTCCACTATATTATAAATATTATTATACTTAATGTATAACGTAAAGAAGCAAATCTTTTTAGTTGATTTGTCAATTTATGTACACAATATAAATCACATTTTGTCATACATATTTTTCTAATTTGACTACATGGACGCATTGACGCTTAAACACACCGGAATATTATCTAAAATAAAATATAAATTGTACATTTAGAGCTAGTGTGACTTTCTTAGTCTCTTCCCTGGGCATAATTACTGGGGTAAATTTTTTCAAAAGTTTCCTCACTCCACTCACAGTTTTAAAATGCTGATCCCCATATTATTTTCTGCTGCTACAAATTTTTGAAAAACTGCAAGTTAATGAGGGCATCCACGATTTTTTGCCACTAGAGCGGTGCTACTTTGAGGTGAAATAATAAATAATTTATTACTTTGCAACCTTCCGCTAACCAATTACAATGATGTGTCTACGGCGACTGACCGCTAAGCTTAGCAGTCAGTCGCCGTAGAGTCTACATCACCTGAAGATGCCTCGTGTAGAGGCGAAACACGTGTCGTATTATCATCGATGCTGTGACTTACCTGGAATAGTGGTGTTGGGAGTAGTGGTACCGGGAGTAGTGGTGTTGGGAGTAGTGGTGCTGGGACTAGGGGTGACGGAGTTAGTGCATGCAATTGAGGGAGGGAGGGAGGTGCTTTTCAATCCAGGTAAGACACATCATTGTAATTGGTTAGCGGAAGATTGCAAAGTAATAAATTATTTATTATAATTGATTTCCACAAAGTAACGCCTGATTCTATCAAGAGGTGAAATGTTTGACAGATTTCATAACGGGGGAAGTGAATTTGTAAGAAAAGTGTAGAGATTAATCTTTATTTCTGAAAAGTTTGTAATATTTATTATTAATTGTATTAGCAACGGACAATCCGAATAACGGATATTCCAGTCCAGTCCCAATTAGCGACATTTGGTGTACGAAAGACTATTTGGCCCTAGTTGCAGTAGGTTCAAATATCAACATGGACCCGATGAAAAGAAAGGAGCACAATAAATTATGAAGCTGTGTTTAGGCGCGCCCAGGTGTAGATTGGTCTAGAGCGGGTCACGCTATGAGCCGGCGTGCGCGCGCTGCAGCAGGCGGTAGCGGCGGTGCGCGGCCTGCACGCGCGCGAACTCGCGCAGCAGCGTCTCCAGCTCCGCCACGTCGCACTGATCGCCCACACTCTCCTCCCTGCAAATTAACATGTTTTTTTATAGGATAGGGTGACACACGAGCACACAGTCCACCTGATGGTAAGCGGTTGCTGCGGCCCATAGACATCTACATCTATCCTCGATTACAAATCAAAACGCTGATGAGTTATCACCCGTGAGGACTAAGATGGAATGCCTCGTTTCCAGTAAAAAGGGTCTCCGGTTCTCCTCACTCACCATACGAAATACAGCATTAAGCATTAAGCTACTATTTCACGCTGGTATTCTGTGAGAGCGTGGTCCTTCCCTGGTCGAGCCTACCCATTCGTGCTACAGCTATACTACTAATATAACTGCAGCATAGCTCTACAACGTATAAAAACGTTCATGTATTAATAACGTGTTAAACGTATTAAATCGTTCTTCTCACACATAAAAGCGTGTAGTGGCGGTGTAAGAATATCCCCTACCTCGTATCATCCCGTGGGTGTTACAAAACGCGACAGAAGGAAACAAATCAGGAGATAGGCAGCAGCGTCTTTTTATAACAACTAAAAATGAAAAACTGCGGTTGCCAACCCGCTTTCCAGGCATATTCTCCCCCCACCCCTCTCCCCCCATATGAGAGAGACCTTCGTCCATCAGTGGACTTTAATAGAGTGCAATGGTAATGGTAACACACATAAAACACATTCTGTTAATACTAGGAACAAGCACAAACTAATTATACCACAGACAGTAATTCATTATTCATATTGATTTGTACGCACACAACAAAATATACAAAATCTGACTGTCAAGTTTTAAAATTTAATAAACAAAGATTGTATAAAAAATAATTATTATAATATTAAGAACATTATGGATGCTAATAGCCGATATAACAATATCTCACAAGAAGGCGACAGCACCAGCAGCTGCAGTCTCAGTACAGTGTACGCACCGCGGCAAGTAGGGGTGGTGCGGTGCGGCGTGCAGGCGGTGTCGCAGCGCGTGGAAGGGGGCATCTTTGCGGTAGCAGCATCACCACCAACAGATGCAGTGTCAGTACAGTGTACGCACCGCGGCAAGTCGGGGGTGGTGCGGTGCGGCGTGCAGGCGGTGTCGCAGCGCGTGGAAGGGGGCATCTTTGCGGTAGCAGCATCACCACCAACAGATGCAGTGTCAGTACAGTGTACGCACCGCAGCAAGTAGGGGTGGTGCGGTGCGGCGTGCAGGCGGTGTCGCAGCGCGTGGAAGGGAGCATCTTTGCGGTAGCAGCATCACCACCAACAGATGCAGTCTCAGTACAGTGTACGCACCGCGGCAAGTAGGGGTGGTGCGGTGCGGCGTGCAGGCGGTGTCGCAGCGCGTGGAAGGGGGCATCTTTGCGGTAGCAGCATCACCACCAACAGATGCAGTCTCAGTACAGTGTACGCACCGCGGCAAGTCGGGGTGGTGCGGTGCGGCGTGCAGGCGGTGTCGCAGCGCGTGGAAGGGGGCATCTTTGCGGTAGCAGCATCACCACCAACAGATGCAGTGTCAGTACAGTGTACGCACCGCAGCAAGTAGGGGTGGTGCGGTGCGGCGTGCAGGCGGTGTCGCAGCGCGTGGAAGGGGGCATCTTTGCGGTAGCAGCATCACCACCAACAGATGCAGTGTCAGTACAGTGTACGCACCGCAGCAAGTAGGGTGGTGCGGTGCGGCGTGCAGGCGGTGTCGCAGCGCGTGGAAGGGGGCATCTTTGCGGTAGCAGCATCACCACCAACAGATGCAGTCTCAGTACAGTGTACGCACCGCAGCAAGTAGGGGTGGTGCGGTGCGGCGTGCAGGCGGTGTCGCAGCGCGTGGAAGGCGTCACTCTGCGGCAGCAGCATCACCACCAGCAGATTCAGTCTCAGTACAGTGTACGCACCGCAGCAAGTAGGGGTGGTGCGGTGCGGCGTGCAGGCGGTGTCGCAGCGCGTGGAAGGCGTCACTCTGCGGCAGCAGCATCACCACCAACAGATGCAGTCTCAGTACAGTGTACGCACCGCGGCAAGTAGGGGTGGTGCGGTGCGGCGTGCAGGCGGTGTCGCAGCGCGTGGAAGGGGGCATCTTTGCGGTAGCAGCATCACCACCAACAGATGCAGTCTCAGTACAGTGTACGCACCGCGGCAAGTCGGGGTGGTGCGGTGCGGCGTGCAGGCGGTGTCGCAGCGCGTGGAAGGGGGCATCTTTGCGGTAGCAGCATCACCACCAACAGATGCAGTGTCAGTACAGTGTACGCACCGCAGCAAGTAGGGGTGGTGCGGTGCGGCGTGCAGGCGGTGTCGCAGCGCGTGGAAGGGGGCATCTTTGCGGTAGCAGCATCACCACCAACAGATGCAGTGTCAGTACAGTGTACGCACCGCAGCAAGTAGGGTGGTGCGGTGCGGCGTGCAGGCGGTGTCGCAGCGCGTGGAAGGGGGCATCTTTGCGGTAGCAGCATCACCACCAACAGATGCAGTCTCAGTACAGTGTACGCACCGCAGCAAGTAGGGGTGGTGCGGTGCGGCGTGCAGGCGGTGTCGCAGCGCGTGGAAGGCGTCACTCTTGCGCAGCAGCAGCATCACCACCAGCAGATTCAGTCTCAGTACAGTGTACGCACCGCAGCAAGTAGGGGTGGTGCGGTGCGGCGTGCAGGCGGTGTCGCAGCGCGTGGAAGGCGTCACTCTGCGGCAGCAGCATCACCACCAACAGATGCAGTCTCAGTACAGTGTACGCACCGCAGCAAGTCGGGGTGGTGCGGTGCGGCGTGCAGGCGGTGTCGCAGCGCGTGGAAGGCGTCACTCTGCGGCAGCAGCATCACCACCAGCAGATGCAGTCTCAGTACAGTGTACGCACCGCAGCAAGTAGGGGTGGTGCGGTGCGGCGTGCAGGCGGTGTCGCAGCGCGTGGAAGGCGTCACTCTGCGGCAGCAGCATCACCACCAGCAGATGCAGTCTCAGTACAGTGTACGCACCGCAGCAAGTAGGGGTGGTGCGGTGCGGCGTGCAGGCGGTGTCGCAACGCGTGGAAGGCGTCACTCTGCGGCAGCAGCATCACCACCAGCAGATGCAGTCTCAGTACAGTGTACGCACCGCAGCAAGTAGGGGTGGTGCGGTGCGGCGTGCAGGCGGTGTCGCAGCGCGTGGAAGGCGTCACTCTGCGGCAGCAGCATCACCACCAACAGATGCAGTCTCAGTACAGTGTACGCACCGCGGCAAGTAGGGGTGGTGCGGTGCGGCGTGCAGGCGGTGTCGCAGCGCGTGGAAGGCGTCACTCTGCGGCAGCAGCATCACCACCAACAGATGCAGTCTCAGTACAGTGTACGCACCGCGGCAAGTAGGGGTGGTGCGGTGCGGCGTGCAGGCGGTGTCGCAGCGCGTGGAAGGCGTCACTCTGCGGCAGCAGCATCACCACCAACAGATGCAGTGTCAGTACAGTGTACGCACCGCAGCAAGTAGGGGTGGTGCGGTGCGGCGTGCAGGCGGTGTCGCAGCGCGTGGAAGGCGTCACTCTGCGGCAGCAGCATCACCACCAACAGATGCAGTCTCAGTACAGTGTACGCACCGCAGCAAGTAGGGGTGGTGCGGTGCGGCGTGCAGGCGGTGTCGCAGCGCGTGGAAGGCGTCACTCTGCGGCAGCAGCATCACCACCAGCAGATGCAGTCTCAGTACAGTGTACGCACCGCAGCAAATAGGGGTGGTGCGGTGCGGCGTGCAGGCGGTGTCGCAACGCGTGGAAGGCGTCACTCTGCGGCAGCAGCATCACCACCAGCAGCTGCAGTCTCAGTACAGTGTACGCACCGCGGCAAGTCGGGGTGGTGCGGTGCGGCGTGCAGGCGGTGTCGCAGCGCGTGGAAGGCGTCACTCTGCGGCAGCAGCATCACCACCAACAGATGCAGTCTCAGTACAGTGTACGGCACCGCAGCAAATAGGGGTGGTGCGGTGCGGCGTGCAGGCGGTGTCGCAACGCGTGGAAGGCGTCACTCTGCGGCAGCAGCATCACCACCAGCAGATGCAGTCCCAGTACAGTGTACGCACCGCAGCAAGTAGGGGTGGTGCGGTGCGGCGTGCAGGCAGTGTCGCAGCGCGTGGAAGGCGTCACTCTGCGGCAGCAGCATCACCACCAACAGATGCAGTCTCAGTACAGTGTACGCACCGCAGCAAGTCGGGGTGGTGCGGTGCGGCGTGCAGGCGGTGTCGCAGCGCGTGGAAGGCGTCACTCTGCGGCAGCAGCATCACCACCAACAGATGCAGTCTCAGTACAGTGTACGCACCGCAGCAAGTAGGGGTGGTGCGGTGCGGCGTGCAGGCGGTGTCGCAGCGCGTGGAAGGCGTCACTCTGCGGCAGCAGCATCACCACCAACAGATGCAGTCTCAGTACAGTGTACGCACCGCAGCAAGTAGGGGTGGTGCGGTGCGGCGTGCAGGCGGTGTCGCAGCGCGTGGAAGGCGTCACTCTGCGGCAGCAGCATCACCACCAACAGATGCAGTCTCAGTACAGTGTACGCACCGCAGCAAGTAGGGGTGGTGCGGTGCGGCGTGCAGGCGGTGTCGCAGCGCGTGGAAGGCGTCACTCTGCGGCAGCAGCATCACCACCAACAGATGCAGTGTCAGTACAGTGTACGCACCGCAGCAAGTAGGGGTGGTGCGGTGCGGCGTGCAGGCGGTGTCGCAGCGCGTGGAAGGCGTCACTCTGCGGCAGCAGCATCACCACCAACAGATGCAGTGTCAGTACAGTGTACGCACCGCAGCAAGTAGGGGTGGTGCGGTGCGGCGTGCAGGCGGTGTCGCAGCGCGTGGAAGGCGTCACTCTGCGGCAGCAGCATCACCACCAGCAGATGCAGTGTCAGTACAGTGTACGCACCGCGGCAAGTAGGGGTGGTGCGGTGCGGCGTGCAGGCGGTGTCGCAGCGCGTGGAAGGCGTCACTCTGCGGCAGCAGCATCACCACCAACAGATGCAGTGTCAGTACAGTGTACGCACCGCGGCAAGTAGGGGTGGTGCGGTGCGGCGTGCAGGCGGTGTCGCAGCGCGTGGAAGGCGTCACTCTGCGGCAGCAGCATCACCACCAGCAGATGCAGTCTCAGTACAGTGTACGCACCGCGACAAGTACGGGTGGTGCGGTGCGGCGTGCAGGCGGTGTCGCAGCGCGTGGAAAGCGTCACTCTGCGGCAGCAGCATCAGCAGCCCGAACAACGCGCCGCGCAGTGCCTCGCTCTGCGCACCGCCCAGCAGTTCCAGTCTCAGGTCTATACGTTCACAATTATCATCATTATAGCCTCACTAGTCCACATCTGAACATAGACAGGAATGCCACAAAGCACGGTAGTACAAGCAAGATTACCAGCCAACATTTAATTATAATATTATGTGCCATTTTGTTCTATAACTTGTTGCTATCTTGTGGGTAGTGACATAATCCCGTTGCTGTAGAAATCTTGAGATTATTGATCGAAAAAAATGCGACAAGTAGTTTTGACAATCCTCTCCTGTTTACTAATTACCTAACTAATTAACCTAACACTTCTCAAAGTATTCTGAAGAGACCGAAACAGGTGAAAATCAGAGGTTTTAAGGTCTGGACTATATAGTGCATGCACTTCTCAACCAAGTTCTCTCAATCTTTCATCATCATTCATATCATGATGAAAAACCACTCCTTTTCTGTTGATCAATTCCGGTCGTTTTTTCTCAAATTCTTATTTGAATCTCATTAGTTATTGGCAGTATAGATCCGAATCGATGGTTTAGTCCGGCGGTAAAAGCTCATAATAAACGATAATAACGAACGACGCCTTTCCAATCCCACCATACATCCTTCCATCTAGAGTCTGTGGAGCTTGACTACCCATTGACCATTGATTCTTGTCGTAGGTAATCCACTTTTCATCATCAGTGATCAATTTTTCAAAAATAGTTCGGTTTCATTACGTTTCAATAATGAGAAGCGCAAATGAATACACGGTTCATTAGGTTTCTTTCAGTGAGTGAGTCAGTTTAGTGTGGTACCCAAGTATCGAGCTTTTTTGTATAACCAGATTTTTTCAAATATGTAAGTCAAACCTGTTTTGTGGTCAATCCTCAAAATCAAAAATCCTCTTCGCCTATGTACTACTAAAATACCGATCTTGCTCCACTTTTTAAAAAATGGCATCGGCTTTATCCGTATGAGGGCGACTAGAGCGGGCTGCATCTTTAAGATCAAAATTCCCGGACTGAAAACGTTTGAACCAACTTTGTTCTACTCTTACTGACACTACATTACGTCCATAAACGTCACAATTTTTTTTTCGCGGCTTGAGTTGCATTTTCCCCCTTTTTGTTATAAATTTTCAGAATATACGAGTATCGAACTTCTACGCTAGATTCACTCATTTTGGCTGACAGAAAAACAATTGAAAAACGGCGGGAAATTTTCACCTTTTTATTTTTATTATTTTAGCCCTATATGTATATATTAAAACCAGCCAGATACAAACAGTACAACAAAGAGATTTTTTCTTCAATTTTAAACTTTTTCCCAATCTATTATTACTGCCCAAATACTGCGACCCTGGTCTTATGCAATATATAAAAACACCCTATTCGATCTGAAAGGGACATATAGGTACTGCAATAATACCAATAAATACATCATATTATTATTATCATCATCATTACAACTCATAATCCTTCCCAAAGAGTTATATAAAGCACGGTCCTGAGCCATTTGTATGGGTCCTCTTCCTGCACCGACTGTAGCACCCCACCTACAATCCCTTTCGTTTTTGGGGCACCAAATTTCGACAAAATTTCTGTAAGGTGAGTATGTGGTCTACGATTCTGTAGATTTTTCAGAAAAAGGCTTGTTCGGGAGGCTGGAAATCGTGAAGTTTACATACGAAACGATTCGTAATGGCTCTCGAAAACAGCGCGTAGACGCGACTCAGAAGGGACATCGATGTGTAGTTCTGCACTAGAGCGTTGTCGCCTTTCTTAAAGAACAAGAGCACTGCATTCCTGTTCTACGTCTCAGGAGAGTACCATTAAAAGAGCTTCTGAAGGACTTCAAGTACCGGTACTCCAATTGCTTCCAGAAGCTCCGCCTAGCAGTTTTTAAGGTACTGGAAAGTCATTCGAATCTCGCTCACACAGGTATGAGATATCATCATAAAAGTGCGTGTGCCGTCAGTAATACCTCTCAATCTCACTCAATATCTCAGGCGACCCGGTAATGATGCTGCCACAGTCGGTCTTCAACTTCCAGAATTGGCTTTTTTATTAACTGACTTTTATAGACTGATATCTCGCAAAGGATTTGGCGCAAAGGATTGGTTCCGCACAATCGCTTTTTCAATTACATCTGTGCCGCTAAAATCTTACCGCATATATTTGGAGTTTTGTCTGTTTAGACGCCTGTATGCTGTCATATCTGTTGAAAGCTGTAGCTTCATTTCCCACCTAACAATGCCATGAGATTAAGAGTTTTTGCATTTGCAGAACTTATCTCCGACAGCATGAACAGTTTCCACGAGCTTGTCATTTATATTGTATATATCGTCCACTATATTGCAATCTTCTAGGCCCTGAAAACTTTTTAAAACTTTTCTAAGTAGAGCTGAAAGTTTTCGAGGCTTTGAATTAAAGTACGAAGGTGACGGAGTGTTAACTTCATTACTTATGGTCTCGCCAACTTAACGTTAAGATTCAGTGTGCACCTCACAGAGGACCCATCAAATTTTAAGACCAGTTACAGTTTACCCCTAGTCAGTAAAATATTTGAAAATATTATGTTCAATCCACTAACTACGTACTTCAACATCAACAATCTGTTACATGAAAAGTAATATGGCTTTGTAAAAGGCAGGTCGACAACTGACAATGGTTCTTCACTGATCCAACATTACTTCGTTGCATGGGAGAATTCACAGAACGCAAAAGGTGTTTTTTGCGATTTAAAACCAAATAAGTTATTGTTCACTGCACAAAATTTTTAGGAATTACTCTAAATAATGAACTGCATTGGAATTAACACATATCTTCACTTAACTCTTCAATCCCCATAAAATTCCCATGAAGTCGCATGCGCCTGGCGAATCCAGAGCGGTCGCATGCGACCGCACCCATCCTCAGCACTTAAAACCATTAAAACCTATATTTAGAGACTACTTTTCTATGAAGAAGTTTGGCATTATAAAATCTATACAAAATTCTCAATCCTGTGGTCTAAACAAAAGTCAAGTTTTACTTCATTACAAAAAGATTTTATTGTATGTTGATAACAAAAAAAATATACCAAGCGGATGTCGGCAGCGTGAAAATCACAATTATTTCTATATATTACTCGAAATTATTTACGTAAAAAGATAAATTTTATTCACACAAAAACTTTAATAATAATTATATAATAAAACACTAATAAAACACTAGAAAAATCCAAAAATCAACACAACAACATCCAAATGAAAATGGCGTACGTAATGAACGTAGAATATAAATTAATATCCATTGACTAACTGTTTTTTTATTCCACTAGAAGATAGAAAATTTCATATTGAACCAATATTCTTCATAGAAAAGTACCCTCTAAACATAAGTATTTATGGGGTAAAGTGCTGTCGTGTGTGTGTGTGTGTGTGTGTGTGTGTGTGTGTGTGTGTGTGTGCGTGTGCGCGTGTGTGTGTGTGTGTGTGTGTGTGTGCGTGTGTGCGTGCGTGTGTGCGTGCGCGTGCGTGTGTGTGTGTGTGTGTGCGTGCGTGTGTGTGTGTGTGTGTGTGTGTGTGTGTGTGTGTGTGTGTGTGTGTGTGTGTGTGTGTGTGTTTTTGTAAGTGGATTTGGTTTCGGAAACCAAATAAAAACTAATCCAAAGAATGACATTATGGAAATATATCACCAAAACGCTAGAGATCTGCTGACAAAGTTAGACAAGTTTAGAAATAACATAATCATAAAAACAAGAAAACTGGATGCAATGAATCTATATATAAGATTCCGAAATAGTCCCTGTGGGATACAAGATACTAAGATGTGATCGTGCGATGGGCGGAAGGAAGGAGACACGTCTAGTGACCCCACACAAATATTCGATAAACACTTGCGTGTTCGAAATTGTGAGTGCGACGGTACACTCATTCTGTGATTTATATTTCACCGAATAGTTCTGAGAATAATTATATGGCCTTACTTAGAATAATAGAAGAATTACGTATTAGATATAGAGAAATTATTGTTATAGGAGATTTTAATCTGTACTCTTGTACTTTAAATATTAGTAACTATTAGGAATGCTTTACGACCTATTGCGAATTCACTCAAAGTAATAAGGTGTCCAAATGTTTAGGTCGTCAGCTGAATTTAGTTCTAAGGCAGGGTTTTGTGGAAAGGTGTCGGTGGAGATTGCGGAGGAAGTTCTCGTACGAGGTTCTTGTACGTAAAATGTGTTCAAATTAACATTTCTAACGCTCTATTGGCGCAGTTTAGGCGCAATAAATCCGACGATCCAATTAATTATTGGAGTTTTGGCGGGAACTTGGCCGTAGACGGATTGTCGCTCCTGTTTTGTCGCTTGAATAATGGTTTGAAGTGGATTTTGATTCGTAAAAGTGATGCGATTTTGTGAATTAAGTGTCCGCGCGTGTGAACTATTTGAGAAAACGACGAAACAAGTGCTTTGATGTCGATATAAACCTCAAGTTATTTTGATCGCTTGGGCGCCTCATGAACTTGAGTGGCAGTGGCTGTCGTCATCAACTATCTGCTAGGTTGAGCTGTCGTCAAAATCTCCCAAGGGCTTCGCAATGTGACGCATCAGCAATTGTGAAGAAAAAAAGAAAAAAAAAACATAAAATGATGAAATATTAAATACAAATAAGGAATGGTTAACACGTACTTACCGGACATTGGCAGAATTATTGTGACATTATCACAATACCAAGGGCCATATAGTTATTTAAAAAAAAAACAAAATTAATTACTGTAGATGAAACTTGGATACACCATTATACGCCAGAAACAAAAATACGGTCAAATCAGTGGACTGCAAAGGGGGAACCGGCTCCAAGAAAAGCAAAAACTGTTTTTTCGGCTGGGAATGTGATGGCGACTATTTTTGGGATAGTCGTGAAGTTATCTTAATCGATTATCTTCAAAAAGGAAAAACCATTACAGAAGCATACTGCGTATCATTACTGGACAAACTGAAGGCAGGAATTGCGGGAAAACGGCCGCATTTGCAGAAAAAGAAAATCCTGTTTCACCATGACAACGCGCCGTCGCACCTCTGCGGTTGCCATGGCGGAAATCCACGAATTACGGTTTGAACTGCTTGACCATCCGCCTTACTCACCAGATCTAGCCCCAAGCGACTTCTTTTTGTTCCTTCGTCTAAAAATTGCGCTCGGAGGATAGAGATTTGAACGTGAACAATTATTTTGCGGAGTAAAAGGCCGAGTAATATTTGGACTGGTTAGCGAGATGGGAGCATCACTGGGAGAAGTGAGTAGAGTTACAAGGAGACTATGTAGAAAAAAAATTGTCTTGTATGTTTGTTAGGTCGGAGAAACTTTTCAGACCACTCACGTACAATTATTAAAACACAATTACTATTACTACCATTTACTGTACAATTGCTAAAAAAAAATTAGACCAATGTGAATTCAGGTTTGATAAATCATTTACATATCAGCCAACATCTGGATTATACAAAACTTCTGTAAATCGAGTCTCGTTGCACTTTTGGTCATCTTTAAACAGGATTTTTGTCTTTATAATCATTTAGTATTCTACAATTTTTCAATTAAAAAAGTGGAATTAAGTCACTTGTACTATAAAATAATGTGATATACACGGAACTAAAGTAGCAGATTGTTAAAACGTGTAATCCCATAATTTCAATAATCGGCTACTTAAGTCCCTTGTATCGTAATGTACTATTCTACACTACAACTAAAGAAAATAAATTTATAGTAAGTCATTTATAGAATTAGGCGTTAATTTGCGGAAATATGTTATATTAAATAACGTTGCTAATTAGCTAAGATCTGTGTAATAAAATTGCGTGCACTTTCCCTATCACCACTAATCCCAGCACCACTACACTAGGACACACCACCGTCAATAATAGGACACGTGTTTCGCCTCTAAACGAGGCATCCTCAGGTCAAGTGAACTATGCGGAGGCTGACTGCTAAGTGATGTCGTTAGTGGAGATGGTGATTGCGCACGCAATTGAGGGAAGGCGGGAGATGCTCTCTAAACTAGGAAAGGCACATAAGTTTATTTATTTTAATTATTTATTTATTAAGCGGATCTTATTATAGTAAGTCTTCACTTTTGAAGGACAATCAATTTGTATATGTATGTTGGTAATAAAATATACTTACACGCAAATATTGGTGATTCGATCAACTGCACTAATTTATCGACTTCTGTCAAGAAATCCACTGTGATCTCCAAGTCACCGCTGTTCTCATGTTAAGGCATACCAAATAAAATATTTTTAATTTAAAAACAGATGTCATACATGAAAATGTAATACCATCACCACTACAATTGCCATGTGTTTAATGCGTGTGACGACAATTATTAAGCAATACATGTGTTTAACGCGTGTTATAAAATAAAACGTTAGGTTTAAAGAGAAGTGCATTAACTTGTCCGAGTATTCAAGCATTGTTTTGTAAAGTTGTTATATTGACTACCTATCAAATACGTCTCGGTTGGCTGCCATCTTAATATATATATATATATATATATATATATATATATATATAATAAATTACGTGTCACGTTGTTTGTCCGCGATGGACTCCTAAACTACTTAACTGATTTTAATCGAATTTGCACACCGCGTGCAGTTTGGTCCAACTTGAGAGATAGGATAGTTTTTATGCCGACAATTTTTTTCGCGACTTTAAGGATATTTAATAGGACATGACAAATTGTCGTCGAAAGGGCAGAACAACGTATGCCTGGAAAGCTAGTTATCTTATAAAATACACTAACCAACTAGATAAGTTGGTGTTGGTGTTGATTTGCGTATTTGATATGTTATTTTGGGGATACTTTGTATTAACTTAACTGTGTTCAATGATTCTAGAACCTAAGAGTCAATATTGATGCATATAACTTTTTATCATACCTTGAACGAAGGTTCGTATTTCTACCCTATTTTCAGGGACCCAAGTCACCAAAGTGCCACATTGTCTCCCGATTCAATAACTTATTAATTTAGTACGCATGCGTCTTCTATCTCTATAGTTTGTAAACGTCAAAAGTATATGCCATGAATCATAATACATTGAGAATAAATTATATTTCTTGAATTTAAATGGAGCTTTCGATTCTGGTCTGAAAAAAATAGTATACGTACTACGGGAGAAAAGTGTGTCATCGCAACCCGCGTTCTAACCAATACCAAGCGGGTTGCAATGTCATACTTTCCTCCCTAGTGACGTAATATACTATTAATTTAAATAATTTTTGGAATAATTTATAGCACGTGCAAAGGATACAAAGTGGCGATGAGTCGGTTACAGTGCGCGTAGTGATGTGTGAGCAGGCACAGCGCCAGCAGCGACACCGGGCTGTGGCACCAGCACAGGTACAGCGACCTGAACAGCGACATTGTGCCCTGATAACGGACAACAGAATAACATCATGATCTTATTGCCGCCATATCATCTCCACGTACGATGTTAACCTTGTCAACAGAGCCTCAGATGTGTATATAAAAATTTAGAATTGTTTGGTATGACGGGGGAAGTTAGAGTGGGTGAGAGGAGAGGGGAGTATCTCCTACACCCCGCCACCACTCTCAAGTAAAGATAATACACCATTCCTAAGAAAAAATAAAAAGACCTGACCTGAAAGTGATAACATTTGTCTCTCTCCGGGGAGCGTGTGTCCTCTATCACAACTGTAAGGACTTCAGGGTGTTCATGTATTTGTAGACGTTAAAAAAATAACGAAGGCTGTGGCGGGAGCTGCGCTGCGTGTAAAGTATGTAATAATAATTTCATTATTAAGAATAAAATACATAAGAATAAAAATACGATAAATGTATAATAATGTGACACTAGTCTTTGGTATGGTTTTACGCCCTTATCACACTTACACAGATTTACGTATGCTATTTAGCTTTCACAGTAATGTTGCATTTGTTTTTCTATGATTTACTAATTTTTAGGTTATGATAGTTTTTTTTTATTTTCTCAAAAACAGTTATATTGGGGGATCAAACCTCAACCAAATAAAACACCTTACTCCTCCAAATTCCTGCCAAACTGACTGTAGATTTTCTCGACTTTTTTTTATAAATGGCTATAATTTTGAAAATACATACTCGTAACAAAGATTTTTTTTAAATATTTTTCTGTTAACTATTATGACTTAACTTATAACCCGATTCCAGCTTGACGTCGACTTCTGGGACAGCCTGTATATTATTTTGAGAGCAGATCATATACATAAACATTAAAAATCCAATTTATTATAATATTAATATAAAAACATAATAGAAATGTTCTTAAAATAGACCCTTGGGGTAATCCATGAAATTCTTAATAAGATTAAAAAATATTTATCGGGTTTAAGAAACATTATGACATTATATAATTATCAAAGAGATGATAAAGTTGTAAAATACATTGTTATAATTTGCTTGTGAATAGCTAGTGTAATGATCAAACGCTTGGGTAAACGCATACTAATATATTTAATGAAGAAATATATTCAGAAAATGACTAATAATGGCCTGAAAATCAAAGATGGCTTCTCCTTTATTATCAGCTCATAAAAGTAGTTTTTAGTTAGAAGCTCGTAAAAGTCCACTTATGGATAGGTGAAAGTTTTTCTGGGCACTTCACTTATATTTCTACTTAAATTTATGGCCGATACGCTGTACAATCAAATATGAAAGTAATTTACTGGCTTTTCCATATTCCGTAGCTGTAACCGCAGATCGTAAAGTTCCGCAGCCGTGAGCAGAATTGTATTCAACACATCCACCATGACCGCAGCGAACCGGAGATTCTTCTCCTCAAGCAATATCTTTGATAGCGCCTTGTATATGTCTTCGGCGTTTAACAACACACATAGTTGCCTGTAAAAACGATAATTATAACTATTTGTGGTTGATTTTTTTTTATAGGATAGGGTGACAAACGAGCACACAGTCCACCTGATGGTAAGTGGTTGCTGCGGCCCATAGACATCTACATCTATCCTCGATTACAAATCAAAATGCAGATGCGTTGTTACCCGTGAGGACTAAGATGAAATGCCTCGTTTCCAGTAAAAAGGGTCTCCGGTTCTCTACACTACATACGAAACACAGCAGCATTATGAAACTATTTCACGCTGGTATTCTGTGAGAGCGTGGTCCTTCCCCGGTCTAATGTTCAATGTTCCAATCCAATGTTGCTTAACTTAGTTTATGTGTGTATTATCCATGTATGTAACTTAGGACTACTGTCTACTCGTAATTATTAATAACTCTGTAACTTAGTAGTAAGGCGTAATTGGGGGATCACACACCGATTTGTCAGTGAAGTCACAAGGCTCCAACTAAAAACCCACCTTCACACTCTACCTAATACATACCAATAATAATAAATTTATTTCAGGCAACAAGGACTTAAAAATTAAGAACATTGGTCAACATATATAAAACATAAACATTATTCAGGTAAATTTTCTTCTTTGGCGCATCCCTTTATCGGCGAAACGTTAAAATCATAAAAAATACACGTGTACCAAATGTATTTTGCAGGAACCTGAAGTACGTAGGATTTGTAAGTTCGTTGACCTATTAAGGCTCGCCGAGCCGAGTCGAGTCGAATCGCAGAAAGTCGCCTCCTATATATTTACTATGAAACTGCGTCCAGAGCAACAAGCCGCGGCGCGCCGAATTGAATCGACCGCGCGAATTGCTTGACAGGCGAATTTATTCGCTGATGCGATTCGGCGCGCCTCATTCGACGCGGAGAAGTGGATGCGCGCAACATATTTTTATTAATTTCTATTGAGTTTTCATAAAAATCTTTTTGTTTTTAATAAAAATGAATGAAGAACTTTTTCATAGGATAAACGAAATTATTTAAAAATTTAAGAGGATCCCTTCTAAAATCTGGATATAAATGGTGAAATTCGCCATAGTTATTTCTTTTCATATAAATGTCGTGTATCCAGGTATTTGGGAGCACGCAGTTTCCTTTTTCTATTCTCCTCTGCTTCATCAAAAAGTTTTTGAAATAAATCTCACATCTCTTCATATGAGCTATCCATGACGCAAAAACGACCTAATTTAATGAAGAGTTTGCTGTGAATTAGCGATTCGATTCAATTCTTCAGATGGACGCACTAGGAATAAATGCGACTCGCTTCGATTCGACGCGTTTCTACTTCAGTCGACGCCAGGCTTTAGACTCCAGACGCTGCAAATGTAAAGAGATCGGATCCTCGATGCGGCATTGGCTTCGTTCTGCCACGAAACGCCGTACGTCTTCTTCCGACGTATTTCCGTCCAAACGGGAGATATAGAGCTCTATAGTCGGCTCCACAACACATTTTTAATAAACGCAAGTTGAACTTACGTTTATTTTTGCGGTCCCACGCTGATTAAAGACGGGTCTCGACCGATGTCTATTCTCAACAAAAGTAAACCCGTCATTATCAATCTTGTTTCGGGTCACCAATGGAACTGATTTTATATCCCCATTCTTTGGTTTTCGAACACAAGAGGGTGCCGAACTTGAAGATTTTCGTGCAAAATCCGCAAACGTCTTCGCTTGTTGTGAGGTTGGCTTCGGCGGAAGAGCACTAATCGGTTCAGTCGCGGGCTGATTTGGTGATGCAACGACTACCGAAGTCGCTCTAGTTTCACGGTCATCAACCCGCTGACAGACGGTATCGCATGAGTCGTAATCATCGGTGAAATATGACTACTGTTACGGTTACCGCTTGTTGTGTTTACACTCTGCGACGGCGGTGAATTCGCAGATGTATTATATTATATATATATATATATATATATATATATATATATATATATATATATATATATATCAGTCGTCCTTTGACATTGTCGCTAAACACACGCTTGTTCGTTTGAATAGTTATCTCAATCTTTCTCAATCAGTCTTTCTCAAACTTTTCATAATGTTTACCTGCTCTGGTTGCGGCCTTCAACACTCTGACGGTCCTGTTTGCAGTTTATGTAAGAATCGGTACGACTTCGGTTGTGCTGGAGTTACTGAGACCGGGTTTCGGAAGCTTGGTGACAGGAAGAACAACTGGCGCTGTCCGAAGTGCAAGGCGGGCCCACCACTTTCGCCGACTCCTAACTCACCAGCGATTAGTCAGATGGATAGTGTGCTAGAACAGCTGAGCCATATTAATCTACGGTTGGCTCCATTGGCGTCGCTGATGGAAGACATCAAATCCATCAAGTCGGATGTCATTAGTCTAAAGTCGTCGTTAGAAATGGCACATGAGTTAATAGATAAATTTTCGAGTACTGTTAAATCCCTGGAATCGAGGATAGCTAAAGCGGAGGAGATGGCGAATGACGTATCAGGGCTGCGTGCGGAAATAACCAAGTTAAACCAGGAACTTGACATCAGGGACCAGTGGGCTAGATCCAACAATATTGAAATCAGGGGGAATACCACAAAAAAATAATGAAGACCTCTATGATTTAACTCAGAAAATTGGCAACATGTGTAATTTTCCTGTAAAAAAAGAAGATATAAATTATATAGCCAGAGTGCCCACTCGTGTACCGAATGTTGAGAAACCAATAATTGTTTCCTTTAACAATCGATATATTAAGGAAAATTTTGTTTCATCATCGCGTAAGACTCGGCTGTCGGTGTCGGACATGGGCTTTGCATCTACTGGATATTGTTATGTGAATGATCACCTAACTCAACGGAACAAGGTTTTACTGAGCAAAGCCAAATCTCTGGCGAAAAATAATAATTTTAAATATATATGGGTTAAGCACTCAAAAATTATGGCCAGGAAGTCTGATACTTCTCCTATATTTTTTATAAGGTGCGAGAAAGATCTTGTCAGAATAGTTTAAATATTAATTTGACCTTTTTTCTTTTGTACTCAAAAAATTTATTGTCTTATGAAATATTGTTACAAAGTTTGAGAGCCGTCACCGTCTGTTTGTTAACGTTTTATTTTATCCATAAATATGACTGTGTTGCAGAGTTCAAGCTAATATCATATGTAAGTATGCAGCCATTGACGCAACGTTCACCCGTATGGGCACGTTTATACATCAGCGTACTACCCATTTTAGATTGCGCGCTACTAAACTTAAGTCTGATTTTGCCTGTCATTTACTTCGACTGCACAAGACCTATTATTAACTATTTCATATTTACCCTACTATTTATTGCTGTTATTATTTGCTATTTTAATATGAAATTATCTCGAATTAATACTAATATCAATCGAAATAGTACCACCAATCGTAATCTATTACCATTTATATTTTCTGGACTTGTCGTCTTAATGTTAATGTTAAACTGGAATTTGTTACGCGTTTACGCTCAATTTTCTCTCCTATGTTCAAGTAATTGCCAGTACATAGGAATTGTAAATGGCTGTCTCTTCAAGTACTATACGCGTAAAGGTATATTATTATTACAAAATATATTTTATATACTCTTATATTTTACGGATGCGAACACTTTGTTACTAAGTCTGAGTACCCGCCTCTCCGGGTATTATCGGCCTGAAGGTGTATCCTTATTTGTATTTTTATCATTATATACACATTCTTATATATACGTAATAATGAAATTATACTTCATGTTGTTATTATGGGCTGAGAGTGACTGTTACACTCATACGTCCACTGGTCTTGTGATTATCTATAGTGATAATTGGTACCTCATGTTTTATTTTTTTGATAATAATCTTATTAGTTGCGGTTTTGCTCAAGTTGCGGATTGTATGTATATTTATGTATCACATGTGTGTGTATATATGTTTTTATGCGTAGGTATGCGTGTGCATGTATGTGTATGTTTATGTGGTTACATATGTAAGTGTATGCGCACGTGTTTGTATATGTTTTTCATGATTACTAATGGCTTCGTACGACCTTAAACTGTATTACCAAAATGCTCGGGGTCTACGCACCAAGACTTACGCATTCCAGCGGAGTTTACTCCTGTCCTCTTACGATATTATCTCACTAACGGAGACCTGGCTTACGGATGGTCTAAGTGATAGCGAATTATTCGATGATAGGTACATTGTCTGGCGGCGTGATAGGAATTATCAATCGACACAGTTGAAGTATGGAGGTGGGGTATTGTTGGCTACTCACCGTCGGTTAGCTGCAGTGGAACGCCCAGAATGGCACTCCTCTGCCGAAGACATCTGGGTTACAATCACATCGAAAAAAGGAAAACGGGGATTACATTCAAATAATATTCACATTTGCACCTTATACTTGTGTAAGGAAAATCTAGGTAATTCTTTCAATACGCAATTGCAAAACTTCTCAGAGAAGCTGTCACTCATTGTTAGTTCATGTCCGAACGACTTATTTTTAATAATGGGAGACTTTAACTTAAGTAACATCAACTGGAATGGTGAGATTGACTGTCTGCAACCTATTGGGATCCTTGGTGAATCGCAGTTATTATTTTTCGATACATTAGCCGAGTGCAACCTTAATCAGTTTAACTTGAATAGAAATATTAACAATAGAATACTCGATTATGTTTTGTGTAACAAATACGTGTGTGTATCGGCATGTAACGATCCTCTGGTACCAGAGGACCCTCACCACAAGTCGTTAGATCTGACCTTGACCTTTGCTCTAGACGATTCACTTGGAACTAATCTCAGACTCAAATATTTTTATGACAAAGCAGATTACGAGGCCATTTCTTCCTCACTAAATAAAGTGAACTGGGTGATAGACTTGAACAATGGTCCGTTGGACAATGCCGTTGATATATTTTATGCCCACTTATATAATGTTAGAGATAAACATGTCCCTCATAAAATAATAACTTCTTCCTCTTTTCCACTTTGGTATAGCTGTTCACTCAAGAAACTATTGAAAGAAAAATACAAATATTATAAAAGATATCAGGTATATGGTAACATGGTTGACCTCGATACTTTTCGACTTCTTAGAACTAGGGCTAAACGCCTGGAACAGGAGTGCTATAATAATTACATAAAATGCACGGAAGATGCGATAGTTAGGCAACCAAAAAAGTTTTGGTCGTTTGTAAAATCATTCAATAAGGGCTCTAACTCACTTCCGTCTAAATTACACTACGAAGGACGGTCTGCAGATACTGGTCATGGTATTTGTGATCTTTTTGCTTCGTATTTCCAATCCACTTTTCTTACTCCATTGTCACATAGTAATAACTTCAAATACTCACCTTTAAACTCAAATAGCGTCTCTGTTTGTATTAGTAATGTGGAAATCAGTACGGATTCAATTTTAACGTTATTAAAGGCTTTAGACTTAACCAAGGGTTCAGGGCCAGACCAGATTGTACCGATCTTTGTCGTCAAATGCGCAGAGTCAATTTCCGTACCATTATCTATTCTATTCAAGCGCTCAATCACGGAGGGACTTGTACCTCGTATTTGGAAATCCGCATTTATTTCCCCGATACATAAAGGTGGTAGTAAAAATGACATCAAGAACTACAGACCTATATCTAAATTATGCCTGTTCGCTAAAGTGTTTGAACGCATAGTGTATTCTCAAGTTTATCAATCATTATCATCATTTTTTATTCCAGAACAACATGGATTTTTAGCGATGCGTTCTACTTCGTCTAATCTTTTATTTTTCACAGATTTTCTTACAGCTGGCATGGATTCTGGGGGTCAAGTTGACGCTATTTTTACGGATTTTAGCAAAGCCTTTGATTGTATTGATCATCAAATACTGCTACAAAAGCTCCTGTTTGCTGGAATTCATGGTAATTTATACCGTTGGTTTACATCCTACATTGAAAAAAGATCGCAAGCAGTAGTAGTGAATGGATTCTCATCAAACTGGAATGATGTCCCTTCTGGAGTTCCCCAGGGATCTTTGCTGGGACCTTTACTTTTTAATATTTTTATAAACGACGTAGCCTCTTGTTTCCAACACTCTAACTTCCTTCTATACGCGGATGACATGAAGATATTTAAAAGGATTGATTCACTACGCGATACTAAGCTATTACAGGAGGATTTGGAACGTTTTGAACAATACTGCTTTCGTAATAACTTACGGCTAAACATTCAGAAATGTTACTGTATGACTTTCACTCGCAAATTTAAATTTGTGGAAACTCTATATAAACTTACTGATCAGGTGTTACACAGGGTAGATGAGATTCGTGATCTGGGTATTATGCATGATCGTAAATTAACATACGAAAGGCATATAGACCAAATCTGTAGAAAGGCTAATAAAACTATGGGCTTTGTTTTTCGGTCGAGCTCCCAATTCCATAGTATAAAGGTAATTAAGGTCCTTTATTGTTCCTTGGTGCGTAGTATTCTTGAGTATTGCTCACAGGTATGGAATCCACGTTACAATGTATACATTGATAGGATCGAGTCCATACAACGTAGATTTTTGAAATATCTACAGTACAGGCTGGGAAGCAACGATTGCAATTATGAGGCGGGGTGCCGTAGACACCATTTACTACCCTTAAAGGAACGGAGACAAATTGCCGACGTGGTTTTCCTAGTCAAAATTGCTCAAAACCGTGTAGATTCTCCGCATTTACTCTCGAAAATCAACATGAGGGTGCCTTATAAAACATCAAGGCAACCTATATGTTTGGATATTCCACAGTCCTCATCCAATTACAGACAAAACACTTTCTTTATTCGTGCCGCAAAAACTTTAAATAGTGCAGTGGCGTCTACGCAGCTTGATCTCTTTACTTCTTCAACACTTCGTTTCAAAACCACTTTGACGGACTCTTGGTTTGATGGCTCTCGAACTGATCCTTAGGTGTCATTTACCATCTTAATAAAAGTGTATCAAGTGAACAAGCTCTTTTGTAATTCAATTGCGAAAACATGTAAATGGTGTATAGTTTTAATTCAGTTATGTTGTTTTGTAATAAAACACTGTTTGTTTTCCTAATAAATAAAAATAAAAATAAAATAAAAAAATATTGTAATGTGTACATCAAATAAATAGTTCTTTTTTTCTTACCTTATGATAAACGCTCCTCTGTCTTCTAATAAATTTTCGTCGGCCGCCAACAACTTTAGAAGCGCCTGCAGGAATTTATAATAATAAGGACTGGACTCTAGGTCACCTGGAAACAAAAGTTTATTAAATGATTGTAATTATACATTCAACAAATGTATGAGTGAATGATAGTTTTGATTGCATAAAATGGAACGTAGAAGTGAAAGAATCGAGACGGATATATGAGAGAGGGAGAGAGGAGGCGTACTTTCATATAAGTAGTCCTATGATCAGCTGGTACGTATTTATGTCATAGTAGTTTTCCATAAATTGCGCGTTTGTGTTCGCATCACAAAAAAATGTGTTATTGGACTTTTCTGTCAAGAAAATTTCTGTAGCAGCCCGGAGTTAGGAAATTGGCGGTGTTACACCCCCGTGTCTAGGAAAGCAAATAAAGCCGTAGGTCCTATACCGTATCTTGTTATGAGAGTGTGTGTGTGTACGCACACGCACGGACGGATAGTATACGTGTGCGTGTGCGCGTGCAGTGTATCAGGACAGGAGTAAATCTAGGCCAGCGTGTGTATGTGCGTGAGTACGTGTGCGCACACGTGTGTACGTATGCACGTGTACATACGCGTGTGTGCGTGCACAGTGTACCGGGGCAGAAGCAGCTCTCGGCTAGTGAGCATGTACGTGTGTGCGTGAGTACGTCTTCATGTGCGCGTGAGCGTGCAAATTACCGGGGCAGAAGCAGATCTCGGCCAGTGTTCGTGCACGTGTGTGTGTGTGTACGTGTACATGTGCGTGTGAGCGTTCACAATGTACCCTGGCAGGAACAAATCTCGGCCAGTGTCGTGTACGTGTGTACGTGTACATGTGCGTAGTGTACCGGGACAGGAGCAGATCTCGGCCAGTGTGCGTTACGTGTACATGTGCGTGTGAGCGTGCACAGCATACCAGGGCAGGAGCAGATCTCGGTCAGTGTGCGTGTACATGTGTACGTGTACATGTGCGTGTGAGCGGTACAGTGTACCGGGACAGGAGCAGAACTCGGCCAGTGTGCGTTTACATGTGTGTGTGAGCGTGCACAGCATACCAGGGCAGGAACAGATCTCGGTCAGTGTGCGTGTACGTGTGTACGTGTACATGTGCGTGTGAGCGTGCACAGTGTACCGGGGCAGGAGCAGATCTCGGCCAGCACGGCGAGCGCGCGCCGCAACACGTCGTCGGCCGCGTCCGCCAGGCTGCCCACCACGCGCGAGAACACAGCCTCCGTATGCCCATACATCTGCACACACACCATGTTTTCAACGTGGTAGTACCACGCTGCAGCTATATTGTGTTGTAGCACGAATGGCTCGGCTCCACCGGGGAAGACCACGCCCGCACAGAATACCAACATGAAATAACAGCGTATTGCTGTGTTTCGTATGGTGAGTGTAGAGAATTGGAGACCCTTTTAACTGGATACGAGGCATTTCATGTTAGTCCTTAACGCATCCACATTTTAAATTGTAATGGGAGTTATATTTAAATGTATAGACATTCAAAAATAACTTCACCATCAGATGGATTGCGTGCTTGTTTGTCACACTTATTCTATAAAACATAACAACACCGAGATTTTTGGGGCCCGTTGCCCGAAGACTGGGGCCCAAACACTCTATGGCCTTTCATGCATTATAACCTTAGCAAAATACGATTCTTTGATCGGACACCAGTTGAAATTTTGTATACTACTCGAAGTTCATACATTACGCTACTTAAAATAAATAAAAATCATCATTTCCAAAGAAGTGCTGAAAATGAAGTTTTAAATTCGACCACTACGACGAGTGATTCTGGTAATGAAGAAGTACTTGTAGCTTTCCTCTTTTTAAAAAAGAGAAGTCGTCAGCAAAAAAAAACATTAAAATACTGAATCCATCTATTTATTCATATAACACTATAAATTATAGTTTTGTTACTGCACGAGAACTACAAGATGACAGAATTTTTAAATTGCTGCATCTCGTGAAATTGTTGCCTGTCCTGCTTCATCAATAAATACAACATTTAAACATGGATATTTTTAAAATTCTTTTATTAAATTCTTTCTCCGCTGCCATTTGAAAAGATAATTTGGATCCCAACGAACTGGCGACTGATATAGCGGGTATCATGACTTGAGAATGCGTAGGATATCGGTAGCGAAGTGTGAGAGTCACCGTTCAAAATTATGTGCAATATTAATTGGCGGTTCACCCTCTAAGGGTACAATACCATATATATGGTAAGTGTCGTACTGTATGAAAGGTCTTAGTTGTGCAAAGAAGACGTATCAACGTTTCCATTGACTTTTATATTTTACTGTATAACGACTGGTCGGACCGCGCATTAAATCAATGATTTTTCATGCAGTAAACACAGTTAATAACACAATAGCCGCAGAGGCCTCGCGACAGGCTAATTACAAACCAAGCTGTGGTTGCCGACAAGAGAGCAGAGCAGAAGAACATGAGCAGTAACTTCATTTGTATAGAATTTCTTCACTTGGGGTAATTCAGTTAAATTGTGGTCCTTATTTTAAAAAATGATTTCATTAACTACTTAACATTCGAAAAAGTACATTAAAAATTAATTTCATTAAGAAATAACCTATTGTTGTTTTAATTTGTATAAATTCACATTGAACAACATTGGGATGCATTGTAAACACGTGCAAGAATGAATAGGCTTTTGTTAAGTTTAATTAATGTGCTTTATAATCTTCGACTGCATTACGACTTAAGGCGTTATCACACTGGCGATTTGCAAGCGAGTATGAAAGAGACGGGTGACGAGATTCGCGCGGTCTATGATTTATTCTATGACGCAATGTTTTTGCGGCGAGCTCGCTTCGCACTCGCTTTGCTTTGAACTCGCTTGCAAATCGCCAATGTGATAACGCACTTACCATCAGGTAGGACAGTAGTTAAGTATTCTCTTAGCATAGTTAAAAAAAATATTTAATAACAAATACCTCAGTAGGTAGTTTATTGTATAGATGTAAAATCCAGTCCAAAACAGCAACTTTGGTATGCACAGAACTATGGTGCAGCATTTGCGTAAGTACTCTCACCACGGCGTCCAAGTTCAACTTTCCTTCGTTATTTGATTGTTGGTCTTCATTTGTATCACTCTCTGTTAATGTTTTATCAGCAATCGCTTCATCTTCTTCCGTACCTTGTGGAGCAGGAGTAGACTCAGGCGAGCTTGATGTTACGAGCTTTGTAAGTTGAAAATTTACTGTTGCAGCCGTTTCCCGTATATCTGGACTTTATAGCTAAGGTTTTTAAGATAAGGTAGTTTTATTACAGTTATTTGTGTAACATAATTAGCAAATTATGAGATTTAAATGTCTACCGCTATGAGATGTAAGGAATAGATATAAGCATATCACATATAAACATATATACAATGTAACCTAATTATAACTATTTAAGGATTGATTATTGCAAATATATTCAGTATCTACTCAACAGTCTTGGCTTTCATTTCTCTCTCGTGCCACAACATTACATGGCGACCCTGCCAGGCGGTGCGCGTGCGTTGTCACCGCTTCACCGTTGTAGCGCACCGCCGCGGCCTTCATTTTTTTTTAAATAAAATGGGAAAATAATTTAAAGAAATAATACAAAAAAAATACAATTATTGAATTGACATGCTACCGGATGTGACAACAAAACCAAAAACTGATACGAGAAGTGGGCACAATAATAATTTAAAGAAGTTAACTCAAAATTAAAATTGAAATATATATAGTACTATGAAGACAATCAAACTATCAATATTATTAATTTATTAATTAGTAAACAAAGAATGAGGAAAATAAAATGTGGATTTCAAGATACGGAATATTAATTTAAAAAGGGAAAGAAGTAGTTGTATTCTAGGGCGCATCACCCAGAAGGATGTGAAAATTGAGCCGAAAAGAATAAAGAAGAACTTGAGAGCAAAAGTGTGTTAAAAGTAAGCCGAAACGGAGACATAAGAAGAGGCGACAAGGTTATTATTTCTTTAAGGAGATAAACTAATAATATCTATTAGAAAAAGAAGAAAAATGTTACGGAAAAAACGGGAAAGATCAACTTCAGAAACAAATATTATGACAGCTTCAAATATTACATGAAGATTAAATGAATTAGATGGTGAGACCACAAATTTAAGAAAAATAGAAGAAACTTAAGTCCGCAAGCCTTAGCCGATAAGAAGATAGAAAAATTGAGCCGAAAAGTACAAATTATGAGGTAACTTCGCACCTATGTGATTTTAATTCTATTTCAAACTTTATTTAACAATTTGAGATTGTTTTTTTGCTATTATGTTTTTAAAGTTAAATATTAAATATTTTGTATTTTACATATAATTAAGTTGAAATTATTTAACAGATTATTCACAATATACTTCATTATCAAATATTTTATTACCTACAATAAAAAAAAACAATTATAATACAATATCAAAAATTAAGTTGAATTTTAAGCACTTATGTGGCACTTCTATTAAGGCGCAAGACCATTTCATATTCCCTTTTATGCAGTAATGTTTTTGTATAATTTTTTTCCTCCTCCTGTCTGCCAAACAATTAATGAAATAATAAAATAATAGATTCCAATTTTACGCACTTGATTTAAAATAATACTGTGATACATTTCATTGATTTTTTTTTTCTCGAATCCAAATTTTAAAGGGTTAGAAACATTTCACTATCGTTATAAGTTTTAATTTTTTTTAAAGGCATTAAATCTTAAATTTATATAACTTATGTAAAATATTAAAAAAAAATCTTTTAAATGTTTAAATAAATTAATGTATCGTTGTGTAAAGTTGATAACTCTTATAATGTGATTTTCAATTATTCTGTAAACACGACATAATAAATAACATACTTTCAGTAATATTTTTCGATCTATATAAAAGTGATATAGCTTTTAACGATGTAACCATGTGGACTTCTGAATAAATAAGAAATTAAAAATATCAGTTTAACTACTACTACTTATGTAGTAACAAATTGTACACGTTAAGTTGACATTAGGCACGATCATACGATGCGATTATTTTTAACGTTTATTATCAATTCTATTTTTCATATTTTCTGGCTAAAATAACACTTTTTATTTCTTTTGAAAGACAAGAAACTAGTTAGGTAGGTAAATATAACAAGAGTCAATCTTTACACAGTGAATATAAAAGATCTGCTAACCATTTCTTACGAATGATACTGATGTTTCCAAAAATATGATATTATAAAATGTTATGCAATGAGCGTATCTTATAAAAAACATAGTAACATAGATGATAAATTTAAACTGAACACAGCAACATGCAACACATGAACAGGTGTAGGATAAATCACCAACATTGTAATAGCGATAAAAATAATAAGTATAGGAAAATAAATGAGTAAATGATAATAGTATTGTTATATAGATGAAAATAATAAATAAATAACAGTATAAACAGGAATAAAGTAATTAAGAGAGGTTATGAATTTACTCAATACCCTAACAAATAATAAATTTAAACAAAGATGCGCTCCTCCTAAACTTATTGTTAATTCAATAGAAATTACTGATCCTCATGAGATATGCAATATATTTAATAACTTTTTCGCTACTATAGGGCCATATTTAGCTGACGAAATACCTATTCAGTTCCATGTAAATTATACTCACGCACTACCAAAACCACTTTTACAAAATTTGCAAATGAATAATTTAGACCCATGCACTGAAGAAGAAATTCTTAATATTATTAACAAACTTGATTCAAACAGTAGTGTCGGTCTAGATGGTATTAGTACAAAGATTATCAAGTGTGTGAAGGACTTAATAATAAGTTCATTAACGAAAAACTTTAACAAACTTTTACAAAACGGATCATTTCCAGACTCACTTAAAATAGCCAAAGTAACACCTATTTACAAATCGGGACCAAAAACAGAACCGGGCAACTATCGACCAATTTCCGTACTGCCAGTATTATCAAAAATTCTCGGCTACAAAACTACTTAGATTCTATAGATTTCTTTTTTGAAAGACAGTACGGATTTCGTTCTAAAAGTAATACACTCACAGCTACAATTGATCTGGTAACTAAAATCAAACAAAACATTGATAAAAAAAACATCGTACTAGGAGTATTCATCGATTTGAAAAAGGCATTTGACACCGTAAGTCATAAACTGCTCTTAAAAAAACTGGAAGTCATTGGTATTACTGCACAGCCTTAAAAATGTTTGAGTCTTACCTCACGAATAGATCCCAGGTCGTTAAAATAGACAGTAGCACTCAAAGTCCCCCACAACCCATAACCTATGGAGTTCCACAAGGTTCAATATTGGGTCCTCTGCTCTTTTTAGTCTATATTAACAATATGCATGAGTTGGGCTTGAATGGCAATATCACACTTTACGCCGATGACACTTGCCTTTTTTACTTTGGCCCTTCAATTCATGATCTTGTCTCTCAAGCCCAGCAGGACCTTGACATTCTTCACGATTGGTTACAATACAATTTATTAACTATCAACATTTCCAAAACTAGCTACATAATATTTAAAGCAAAAAATAAACCTATACCTAATTTCACACCTCTTAAAATAAACAATACACCATTGCAAGAAGAAACTAATGAAAAATATCTTGGCCTTCATTTGGATACCTATTTAACATGGAAAGTTCACATTAAATATTTAATAACCAAATTAATGTCACTTCACGCCTTACTTCGGATTAATTTTCGATACATACCACAGAAACTACGTTTCACAATATATAATGCCCTAGTTAAACCACACCTGTTATATCTCATCGAGGTCTGGGGAAGCGCTGCCAGTACTAGATTAAACAAATTACATATCCTACAAAATAAAATCATAAAAATGCTATTCAACTACAATTTCCGAACGTCAACTTCAAAAATTTTCCGAAAGACGAATCTGATGAATATCAAACAATTATACATTTACAGCACATGTATCTTTATTCGCAAATCCATGAACAAGAAGGTCCGCACGGATCTGCAATTCACCAAGCGAAAAAAAGTTGGGCGCATCTGCACTCGACGCGCAAGCTTCATTGTTTTGCCTAAAACTCGAACAAAGTACGGCCAGACTACAATTACATGCGAAGGTTCGCGCCTTTTTAATAAGATACCCTCGGAAATAAAAAATGTAGACTCGTTCAATGTATTCAAAAAGCGACTAGCAAATCATATAATCACAAACATATCTATCTGAGTGCGTTGGACTGGTTTGTTCCTGGTTATTATTGTGGTGATAAGGTGATAGTGTATAGTAGAATTTAACTTTTCTTTTATTTGTATAGATTTTTCCCGTCAATAGCTGTTTTTGATTTTATTTATTTTTCAACAACATAGGTACGACAATGAATTTTGTTAGTTAGATTTACTTTTATTTATGTTCTCATGTAAGTGGCGTATAAAATGTCTTTATGAGAATAAATGTCTTTAAACATAAACATATATTTAATAATAATGTTTCAAAAAAAAAGTTAAACACCGACAAAGAAAATTTATTGATAAGAATGTTCTCTCATTTGTACAAAAAATTAGAAAGCATGTAATTGGTATGAGGAACGGAAGAAAGGAATGTTCGAACGTGTAAATACGAATGATTTAGTTACTAAATTTTGTCAATATTGGACTGATCACCCAAATATTGATGATGCTTAAACTTTGCGATTTGAAATGAGTGAGAATGGTGCAGATTAGTATATGGAAGCATGGAGCATGAAAGTATATAAAGAACAAGGTAATGAAGAAATAAAGAAGGAATAAATATTTATGGCAATAATAAAAATAAAAGAAAATGAGACATTGAACAATAAGTAATGGAGAGATACGGGAACGTCCATCACTGGTAAAGCATATAGTCCTCAAGCAGGTTATGCTTCCGTGATAGGATGATAAAATAAGGAGTTACGGGTACTAGGGAACAACGCCTTCAGTACAAGTGATGTAACTGAGTTTACTCATATTAGTACTGTTAGGGACCAGAGAAGTCTTAAATTTGTTACCCTTAATAATGGTACATTGAGGTCACATCCTTCGTTGGATCATGGTGCGAACATAGTTTTCCTCTGTGACAATTGTTGGAGTCCTTTAAAAGTGACTTAAAAAACGTACACCTCAAGGTTGTGCGCACAACCCAAGGTACACTATTACCTTGATACAGTATGAAAAAAAATTATGTACCAATAAAATAAAATGATTATAATACCCAAGTAAATAAATGTATAAAGTACCCAAGTAAATATCATGAAATGAAATATAATTGAAGTGAATCGAAACTCCGGTTCCCGATATTTAATAAATAAATACATATATGCGTGAATAGAGAGAAATAAAGCTAGCTAAAAGTCAAAATATTAAATAATAAAAAAAGAGAACGTACGTACAAGATTTATGAAAAGAAATGATAATAAAAAGGCCTAACAATCTACAAAAATACAAGGTAATAAGGGGATCCCCGACCAAATCCATAGGGTTGGATAGATAGTTATATTGCAATTCTATATTAGGACTATTAACGCTACCCAAAATGCTACTAGCAAGTTGCACATATAACAACTATAGGTTCGCACAACCACAACAAATAAAAATATATCAACCCAATATGATAAGTACACTTTCGCGTAAATTTATAAACAATATTTAGCCACATTGATTCATATTTACAATGATTCTACTTTAAATAATTTTTTTCTGTCTCATGTTTTCTTATCTAAAATGTGTATAATTTTGAACTACATTTATATAAAGCTTATTATAATCAAGTCCAAATGTTATCGATACACTATTATTGTAAAGTTTATAATGTAATCGTTTTTTTTTTTCTATAAAAAAGGGAACGAAAACCTAAAATTGTGTCACCTGCTTGAAATAAAATTGTCTTTTCCAATATTAATAAATATTTTGTAAAAAAAAAAACTTTAGCTGTGTACCTAACAGTGTATTATCTTTTTATATAAATTTCTGTCCCAATTAAGATAAACGTATGTCTTAGAAGTCATGAAATAATGAGTGTTCGAAATTATAAAACTAACTTAAATAATGAATGTTTATTAACGTACCTATGTAAAAGTAATATTTATTATTAACAATGTAACTATTTCTAAATATCTGTTCCAAGTTTTAAGGTACATTTTATTTGCATTCATACTATAACATATTGTACAAGTTATCTTAAAATTAGGCGTGAATCACACCGTGTCATCATAGTCCGATGTAATTGCAAACGTTGCCTATACGTACTCAGAAATTTAGAACAAAGGTGTCACAAACCGCTTACGCGGCTGGGATTGCAAGTTGTATTTTGATTCCCGTTATTATGATAGCGATGATACCTACGTTGCATTATATTATGTTTTTGCTCTTTTCATATTTAAATGTAAATGTAATATAAAAATAAAAAAAAAAAAAAAAAAATTATCGGTGTTATATTCATTAAACCTTCAAATCACATGCTTTTAACTTTTATAAGTCATTATTATCTGAAAATATAATGGAATATTAATGTCTAACCTATTTGTGTGGATCATGAAAGCAATAGTTAAACAAATATAAAGGTATAAATAAATTAAATAAAAAGTATATACAATTATAAATACAAATGTGAATAAATATATATATATATAAGCTATATATATATATATATATATATATATTATATAAAGTTTGAAACTGCTTAAAACAAAACATCAACTAAAACATATTATATATATTAAAAGCGAAACTATAGTTTATATAATAAATCTCGACTGAAAATAAATGTAAAAAAAAATATTAATAAATATATGGTATGATAGGTGATATGTTCATGTTAACGTGCAGTTGTGACGTTGATTAATATCAAAAATACGACAGGCTTAATGTCGTACGAAATAAAAATGTTAACGAAATAAAATCGCATGCGTATCACGGATTGACTTAGTAATATAATTATGTATAACCATGGTATAATCTGATCATGATCATGAGATTATAATTTTTTAAATGAAGTTAGTTTCATATTTTATTTAAATACTTTATATTATTCCAATTAGAAATTATATACATTTAAAGCCTATTTAACATTATATTTTATTTTATTCTTCAATATTAAAAGATTAAAAACCAATATTAAAATTATTCAATATTAAATTAATTATTACGTTATAAGATTCAAGAAAACTAAAATAAAAAATAAAAAAGTAAATAGATAACTTTCCTTTTTTTTAAGTATCGGGGGGAGGTGTTTATTATGATATTATGATATGAGATCATTAAAGATAATAAGAATTATACAATATGGTAGAACATTATAATCTATTTATCTATAAAAAATGTTTATAAAATATAATTTAATAATTATGATTGACTCATTGTATTAACATACCTTATTATATAAGCGAAAATAAAATAAATTGTTAGTACATTTATTTTATTTTTTTATTGCGGTGGAGACGAGATGTAAGGAATAGATATAAGCATATTACATATAAACATATACACAATGTAACCTAATTGTAACTATTTAAGGATTGATTATTGCAAACATATTCAGTATCTACTCAGCAGTCTTGGCTTTCATTTCTCTCTCGTGCCACAACATTACAGCTAGGAGCCCTTCTCGGTTGATATCACCTCTCACCTATTTCTGTGTGTTCCGGCCTGGAGGGTATGGAATGTCAGTATAGTTGTAGGCCATAGAATACTATAATACATACATACTAAAACGGGGGAGTAGGCGGAGCCCGTGTAGCCACTAAAATGCCACTAACATGTCAATTCACACGTATAAATGTCAACACGAGATGTGTTTTGACGTTACAATCGTTTCCAAATTTCGCATGAAAATTTTTTAGGAAATGCCAAATTGCACGCTATTTACAAATAAATATTTATCAAAATACGTCTGTCAACAGTGATTAACTGATAATACGACGTAATTGCTTGTATGTGTGCTCCCGGCGACGCCTATCGTGGTACAAAATAAGGTTGACAGGTGACAGCCGTTCTAATGTATATTATAGTATTCTATAGTAGTTTTTATATAGTATATAATAGTAGTATAGTTCTTTTTGTAGGCTATATGGCATTCATATTGACATATTGGCACAGTGCCAAGAAGAGACAAGGCATCTGTAGCCTCTGTGTTTGAAGTTGGCTGCAGGTGTCATAGGCTGAAGCAGCCACTTACCCATCAGGTTGGCTGTCCAATTCTAAGCTACATTCAAAATTTCAAGTCTAGCTCATCGGGAAGTTAGTATAAAATCTATTACTAAATTCAAACCAAACGCTCAACCACGAAAGCGAATTAATAAAAACGTGGTACTCGTAATAACGAAGTATATATACATCGTGTCATATATGATTTTGGTCCACTGAACCATTATGAACAAAAGGATACTTTTTCTGGCCTCATCAGAATAGGCAAGACAAGGCAACACTGCACATAAAATGCCTGAAGCATACGGTAGCATACTGGGCCCGGCCAGTTCCACAAACTCCTTGATCCACGTGATTGCTGTCAACTAAAAATTAAATACAATTTACAATCGTGATCGAACTGGTGCATAAAAATTACTAGATATTTCTTGTCGACCACTACATACCAACAGGTGGGACAGTAGCCAAGCTTAAATCGTATCGTAAAACCAAAAAGAAAGAAACGAACATATATTACGAGTATGTATTTTTTAAGACCACCAACAAGATAAGTACCACATCATTCTATACAATATGTAACAAAGCGTGTAGAAATATTTTTTTCACATAAACACATTTAAAAAAAATTAATTTTAATGAAAAAGAAAATTAATTTCCAAATTGTATGTGTTTTTATTTCCTCTAACTCACACGAGTATCGATACTGTGAGGTCTTTGACAATCTCCTCTTACTCCTCGGCCATTGAGCTATTATGCACTACGTACTAGAGGCGACACTGCATTCAGCTACTCTGTTCCACTCAACTGCAGTGCATACACCGCACTTTAATCAGTCACTCGCTAGGCGCTTGTAGAGTTGTCACGTGTTGTGTTGATTTAAAAAAATCTCTTGATAAAAATATGCCGTCGTGTGTACTTAGATATTGCACAAATTATTCAAGAAATGTCAGTAAAAACCATTAGCGAACTTCACATGTCTTCGAAATATTTTTTTTTATTCCTCAGACATGCAGGTTTCCTCACGATGTTTTCCTTCACCGCCGAACACGTGTTAAATCTGCACTTAAAATTGCAATTAACAATGTCATTGGTGCCGGCGGGGATCGAACCCGGGATACTCGCGTTCTGTTATATTTACAGCGAGCGTTAACCATCTAAGCTACCACGGCTCTACGGTAGAGCCATGCTATAGCTATATTACTGGTATAGTTGCAGCACGAATGAGTAGGCTCGACCGAGGAAGGACCACGCTCTCACAGAATACCAGCGTAATATAGCAGCTTAACGCTGTTGTGTTTCGTATGGCGAGTGTAGAAAACTAGATACCCTTTTTCCTGGAAACGAGGCATTCCATCTTTGTCCTCACGGGTGACAACGCATCTGCATTTTGATTCATAACCGAGGAGAGATGTAGATGTCTGTGGGCCACAGCAACCACTTACCATAAGGTGGACTGTGTGCTCGTTGGTCACCCTTATCATATGAAAAAAGGTTTTGCAATTTAGTTATTTAGAATTTTAGTACAGTTTAATAAATGAGATGCTTTAGTTTTCTTTGATTTAACAAAGTTACATTAGAGATACATTAGTGACAAATAGTGCTCTAACATGGTTGCATATTTTGTATATTAAAACTAACACATAGGCTGTAAGGTCATTTCTGAATAGCTGTAAGAGCGAATGAAACGCGTATGTAATAAACCAACAGAAACTCACCTGCACGAGTTCTTCTGGAGATTGTGCATGTGTTATAAGTATGTTGATCATCGACTGAAAGTCAACCTGCGATGGGTCCTTCTTAATACTTCTTAAAAATTCGTTGAGTTGAACTTCACACCTATGAAGAAGCACTTTTTTCAGTAACTACTTCAATTTCATTACAGCCAATAAAAGTCAACTGCTGAACATATTATATTTACGTGGTAGAGCCATGCTGCAGTTATATTAGAAGTATAGTTGTGGCACGAATGGGTCGGCTCGACCGGGGAAGGACCACACTCTCACAGAATACCACCGTGAAACAGTAGCTTAATGCTGCTGTGTTTCATATGGTAAGTGTAGAGAACCGGAAACCCTTTTTACTGGAAACGAGGTATTCCATCTTAGTACTCACGGGTGATAATGCATCTGCATTTTGATTCTTAGTCGAGGATAAATGTAGATACTTATAGGCCACAGCATCCACTTACCATCAGGTGGACTGTGTGCTCGTCAGTCATCCCCATCCTACAAAAAAAATAAGCCTCTCCCATGGATTGCCTCATTGACCATATAGTAGCAGTGTAAGAAAATACACTACCCCATCTCGTATCATGGGTGTCGTAAGAGTCGACAGAGGGTATTAAAACAGGAGTTCGGCAGCAGTGTCTTCTTAATAACATCTTATAATAATAAAAACTGCGGTTGGCCACCCGCCCGCCAATCGTCGCAACCATACCAAAATCCCTTTATGAGGCAAAGCATGGGGAAAGCTTATGTATGTTCAGAACTTCCTACTGTCAAAAAATAAAAATTGTTATACTGATACTGATGAAAAGTTACATCATATGTAACGGCTGCAAGAACTGTAGTGGAATGACATACCAAGAGCCCCACTGTGTCGCTCCATGAAGGAGTCACAGAGAGACTTACTTTTACTTGGTACAAGGGGTTTCTGGCAAGGAATTTGCCTGGGTAGATATCCCGCTCTTAACTTTTTGTGACGGTTGGAAGGACAAAAATGCCAGTATAATTTACACAACCTTTGACTGCCTCCTTGGTCAGTCGAGACAAAATTAGTTACTGGGTTTTCCTGTGAAGAGCCCGAAAGCAGAAAGTCGGCGATTTTTCACCCCTGTGCCTGGGAAAGTACATAAAGCCGTTGGTTTTAGGCCTGATCTCCACCGGTTGTGTCGGATTACAGTCCTATCGAACTATGAGAGTAAAGAAAAAGAGAGTTCACCTGTGCTTGCGTATACACTCGGGCACTATAATCTAGTCTTGCGCAGATGGCATATGCGTTGAGACTGCAGCCGTGACCGAATTTCAGGCTGGAAGACATTATTATTATATTTTACAAGCTGGAAAGCAAGTCATCGAAGATGATAAGTTGAATGCAAGCTGAGAAAAGAAACAGATTTTCCGTCAGATACAACCAACGTCGACACCCACGTGCAGTGTGCAGGTACGTACATGCGGCGGATCTCCGGGTGCGGCTCGTCTAGCATGTGCAGTATGGGGTCGAGCAGAACACGCAGGTGCGGTAGCATGTCCAGCATCGACACCCACGCGCAGTGTGCAAGTACGTACATGCGGCGGATCTCCGGGTGCGGCTCGTCTAGCATGTGCAGCATGGGGTCGAGCAGGTCGCGCATGTGCGGCAGCAGCGGCAGTGCGTCCAGCGCCGACACTCGCGTGGTGTGCAGTGTGCAGGTACGTACATGCGGCGGATCTCCGGGTGCGGCTCGTTCCTGCATGTGCAGTATGGGGTCGAGCAGAGACACGCAGGTGCGGTCAACACGTCCAGCGCCGACACCCACGTTGCGCAGTGTGGAAGTACGTACATGCGGCGGATCTCCGGGTGCGGCTCGTCCAGCATGTGCAGCATGGGGTCGAGCAGGTCGCGCATGTGCGGCAGCAGCGGCAGGCGGCAGTGCGTCCAGCGCAGACACCCACGTGGTGTGCAGTGTGCAGGTACGTACATGCGGCGGATCTCCGGGTGCGGCTCGTTCCCATGTGCAGCATGGTGTCGAGCAGGTCGCGCAGGTGCGGCAGCACAGGCAGCGCGGCAGCGCGTCCAGCGCCGACACCCACGTGGTGTGCAGTGTGCAGGTACGTACATGCGGCGGATCTCCGGGTGCGGCTCGTTCAGCATGTGCAGCATGGTGTCGAGCAGGTCGCGCAGGTACGGCAGCACAGGCAGCGCGGTCAGCACGTCCAGCGCCGACACCCACGTGGTGAGCAGTGTGGAGGTACGTACATGCGGCGGATCTCCGGGTGCGGCTCGTCCAGCATGTGCAGCATGGGGTCGAGCAGGTCGCGCAGGTGCGGCAGCAGCGGCAGCGCGGGCAGTGCGTCCAGCGCCGACACCCAGGCGGCTGCGAACTGCCGCGCGCACGCGCCGCGCGCGTACAGTCGCTCGCGTAACAGTGGCACAAATGCAGACACATCGAATGCGCCACTCTCTGTCACTATATCCTATACCAAACATTTGCAAACTGCTCTAAATACTGAAGTACATGTATACCGCTACTATACACTTAATTTAATAATGATTTGTATAAGTGAAACAGCTTATCATCTTCAACGGTTATACTTGGTAAAACCACACTACAGCTATATTATGGTCGTAAACAGCATAAAATAGAAACTTTATGCTGCTGTGTTTAGTATGGTGAGTATAGAGAAAGGGAAACCTATCATCAGGTGAACTGTGTGCTTATTTGTCACATTTATTCTAAAAAAGCCTTTAGGCTAAGAATGCATACATATACATTTTTTTTGGGACACATCACCCGATCATTTACTTTGACATCTATGACAAAGTAATATCTCTCTCGTTTATATACATTAACGTTACCATGATTTTTAACTGTAATAGATGTAACAATTTTCTAATTGTGTATTATTAGAACAATGTTTGAACTCATGAATTTAAGCTGAGGACGAATGGGGAAGCTGGAGACCTTCAAGAAGAGCTTACACCTTACTAAAGAGCCAGTAACGCACCTGCAATTCCCCTGGTGTTGTGGATGTTCTTGGGCGGCGGTAGTCACTTAACATCAGGTGAACCGTATGCTTTTTTGCCCTCTCTTCTATATAAAGCTTGAAATACGAGAAAATTTAACAATACATCCAAAATGCTATTATACAGGACAAATACGATAATTAATAATGGCATTTTTTTAAACAGATGCAACATGTTGATTTTCAATTTGTTGATAAAGGCAGCGAAATTAAAATAGACATTTGGGTTTTCCCTTTCAACTAAATCAATTTTCCATTCTCTTTTCCAGCTTTTCAAAAGTTTTTCTCTATTCAGATAGTTTGATTTCATGAGAATCTAAATTTCGCTCAATTGTTAAAATTTTTACGTTGTTGTTTCAATTCACTTGGAAGTTCTTCCTCGCTGTAGGCAATCAAAGAGAATCTTGTTGCTACTCCTTGAAATTCAAAAAGGCCTTTTTTAATCTCTTCTTTTTTACTTCCATTCCTGTAGACTTTTTTACTATTTACACAAGCTAGACGACCAAAAAATATTTACTAAGAATTTTTACGATTCGTTATTAACAAAGTCCAAAGATCAATAATATCACCACTGATTCCTTTAGTAAAATTACGCTAATTTCCAGCTTCTTTACTTCAAGAAACCTATCTTTTGGGTTTAAAATAGGTAATAGTGACAATGGCTTAAATGTTCAGCAGATCACTTCTTGCCAATTTATATGCCCTTGCTCCTTTGATTTTTATTGCTGAAAATTGAGGAAGTTTCTAAACATTGTTTTTAGCTAAGAACATAAATCTAATAATTGTAATAAAAAATCGAACTGAAAAGCTTTAATTTAAGAAAATGGTTCTTCTTTTTTTCTATAGCTTTATCTTCTGCAAGGTAAATAGAATCAAATGAAGTTCCCAGAAATTTGAAACCTCTCTTGTTAAATCTTAAAATTTCTGATATCTTGTAATAGATCAAACAATGATTCTAGTTTCACAACTTGTTCATTATCCAAACTCATAGAACTATTACACCAGGTACCTTATCAATTATACAGCATATTCCTATGTACATTTTTTATGTGTGGTAGAGCCATGCTGCAACTATATTAAAGAAGAAATGCATTTTATTCCAGTTGAAGCATGCAGGATACCAAGTAAAAAGTATTTAAATGAAAAAAGACAAATAAAACTACATTAAAAGTAATTTAACAACATTATATAATTAAGAAAAAACATTAAAAAATACCCTGTGCTGCAGCATGAAACTGCGAAACAAACTGGACTCAGTGACAGCACTGGTTTTCAGTCCAGCCCTTACCAAGAGGCAACTCTGCTTTTACTCTCTCTTTCAGCTTAACAACTTTAGTAGTATATAGTATATTGTTAGTTTTGATTTATAATCGAGGATAAAGTTAGATGTCTATGAGCCACAGCAAACACTTACCATAAGGTGGACTGTGAGCTCATCTATCACCCTATCCTATAAAAAAACATTTTTACAGGATAGATAAATATTTTACCTACAAATATGGTTTGTCTAAGCTTGCTATCAACATATTGACAATATTTTGTCTATGGTTGTCTCCACACCTTTATCATCAGTCATTCATAACTCCTCATATAGAGTTTACCATAGTCGCCACACTTTGCAGGTAGGTTTGCAACCACAATATTATTAATATTTCTGTTTCTGAACATACTGCTGTCCGTTTTCTATTTCAGTTTTCCTGACATGCCTCTTACAACAATCACAGGATATATAGTGAAGTGGATATTGTTAGGCCTCTGGTACACAGCTATTTCAATTGTGTGGCTGTATTAGAACTGGTATATTATTAACAAAGAATTCCCTTAATGCAAAACTACTTACCTTTACAAGGCGATCAAGCAGTTCGGCACCCTGACGTACTTGAGGCTCTGGATCTGAGGCAAGGCGTGCTAGGGCATCAAACACAAGTGGAAAGTGTGAAAGCGAAGCACCACGAGCTATTTTTAATACGTTAAATAGCGCTTCGGCTGCCAGGTAACGCACGCGAGACTCGCCCTCGCTCACGCATGCCACTATTGGGTGCAGCAGCTCACTGAGGTACACAGTGCAGCCCTAAAAAGTGAAATAACATTTTTAAAACATTTGCATGACCACAAATAACAATAATAAACTAATTTAGCAGAAATTACTTTAGTAGTCAATACACTACGTGATAAAGTAGAAATATTATAGGTTAATAGAATTTTATATTTATTATAACACAACACTATTATTTACAACTTGTTATATTTAGAAGAAAGCTTTTTAAGCATACAAACCTTTCCTAAACCAACAGCAACAGACGATAAGCCCATCAAGGCACCATTTTTCACATTAGGATTAGTAGAAGACATTAAATCTTGGCCTAAAACCCGAATCAGCTTCTTTATCTGATTAGTATTGTTCGCATCATTGAAGTCTTTTACCATTCTGGAATGTTAAAGTTAACCTTTGTATCACTAAACATGAACATTCTACTAACCAAAATTTATTATTTTTATTTCTTCAGTACACAGTAAAAACTGTAATCAAGTGACTTTCATACTTTTCTATTTCGACGCCAGCAAACTTCCTCTTTTCATAAAGTTTGTCACACAGCCCGCGAACGCAAGCTGTACTTAAAGGTGCGTAATCTCTTTCAGACATAGTAATTATTTCTTTAATACCTAATTAAAAATTTAAATATGTTTTTTACTACCCCAATTACCCCATACACTCAAAACCCACACAACTTTCAACTTCTAACAGAAAATGTCAACTGTCACTGTCAAATTTAGCCTTCGAGCATAGAAAATAGCTATTTTCTATGCTCAAAGAATTTAGCGGTATTGCGTATCCATAATAGACTGTTGCTCCTGTTTTATTGTTTAAATTATGCTTTGAAGAGTACGTAAAAGTGATGCAATTTTATGTATTAGTGCCTATACATGTGAATTATAAGTTTATAAGTGAAAACGACGAAATAAGTGCTACGGTGTTGATATTGACCTCAAATTATTTTGATCGCTTAGGCGCTTTAAGAATTTGGGATACTGTCGTCAACGGTTCGCGGAGTTAAGCTGTCGTCAAAATCTCCTAAAACCACCTAAAACCTTTACATAGCATATTGTCAAAAGAGAAAAAAATCTATAAAAACGAAGATTCCGAGTGAAACGTAGACAGGGAAACCTATAGATTGACGCCTTCTTTCGCATTCGCACACGAAAAAGATAGATTTATGCATACGTCTTGCATAGAAATGAGATAAAGCGGTGTGATTGTTTGTCCCTTTCTCCGTGCCGGTCTTTTTGTTTAGCAAACTCTACAGTTTGCTAAACTCCCGAGTGGCCTCGTGCACGAGCTGCGTGATAACCTCGTCCACCCTGTACCCCGTGGGCGCGGACTGCACGACATTGACGGCCTATAGCATGGAGGCTAGAGAACAGGAGAAAGATCGCTACGTGCTAAAGCATAGCCCGCGTAGACAGAGAATGGCATTCTCTGTCTGCTATTGTCACGCTGCCGTCACGTCGGTAAGTACTAAGTAGTATCTGCGTTTTTTTTTATTTGTTTTAATTTTTAAATTTTTGACAAAAAGAAACATTAAAATAGGTGAAATATTATAAAAAATAATAATAAATCAATAACAATTAATAAATTCTATTTGTAATAATTTATAATAATTAAAATTAAAAAACCGTAATTCATAATTTATTTATTAATAAATTGTAGTAATAATAAATAATAATAAATTGGTTATTTTCATTTTTTTCTTTGGATGATATTATTATCATTTCAAACAACCACCCGATTTTATTGACACAAATTATCAATCGCAGCGCCTCACTTATTTTGTTCATATTTCTAAAGCGCTTATTACACTATACAATTTTTAGGAAATCTAATTAGGAACCTAAATTGGAAGCTAGTGATCACACTACACTAAATTGAATTCTAAATCGTGACGAACCGCATTCGTAAAGAAGTATCGGCGGGGTTGCACGTTTGATCGATGGCGCCGTATTTATCCGTGATTGCCTTAACCGTGGTGGGAACAATGGATATTAAAAAAAGAGAAAAGAGTACTTGTCATTGAGAAAAAACTGTCTAATATGAATATAATTATATATTTTTAGATTCTAAGCAGTTCCTTTATAGGGTGACAAACTAGCACACAGTCCACCTGATGATAAGTGGTTGCTGCGGCCCATGGACATCTACATCTATCATTCGTAAAGAAGTATCGACGGGGTTGCACGTTTGATCGATGGCGCCGTATTTATCAAAACTGCAGAAAATAGGACTTGCCTTAGCCATGGTGGGAACAATGGATATTAAAAAAAGAAAAAAGAATACTTGTCATTGATAAAAAAACTGTCCAATATGAATATAATTATATATTTTTAGATTCTAAGCAGTTTTTTTTATAGGATAGGGTGACAAACTAGCACACAGTCCACCTGATGATAAGTGGTTGCTGCGGCCCATGGACATCTACATCTATCTCCGATTACAAATCAAAATGCAGATGCGTTGTCACCTGTGACGACTAAGATGGAATGCCTCGTTTCCAGTAAAAAGGGTCTCCGGTTCTCTACACTCGCCATACGAAACACAGCAACATTAAGCTACTATTTTACGCTGGTATTTTGTGGGAGCGTGGTGCTTCCTCGGTCGAGCCGACCCATTCGTGCTACAACTATACTACTAATATAACTGAAGCATGGCTCTACCACCTATAAACAGTTTGAATATTTGTTAAGTTTGGTATCCAAACATATTGAAAAAGAAGTCACGATATTTCGATAAAGTGTGAGTACCAAAGAATGTTTGATGGTGATATTATGTTTTATAGCCACCGGAAATTAATATTAAGATTTAAAGTACTGCTCTCTGATATCAGACTTCTACCAAAACTTCTATCAAAACTTTAAGACATCCGCTTGTATCAAAGCGCGGGCGCCGACTGGTTGTTCTAAATCGTAACGTTGCGATTACACTGTCCTAAATTGTAAACAATTTAGGAAGTAGAGCGATTGGGACCTCCAATTTGACTAAATCGGATCCTAACTGTTCTAACTACGATTACACCTTCCTATTTCCTAATTAGATTTCCTAAAAATTGTATAGTGTAATAAGCGCTTAAGTTAAAAAAGTTAGTATAAACCATAGATAAATAAATACGTAGGTATAAACTCCAACTAAATCTATGTTCATAATAGTCTGTGCTAGGGATGGCGATTCTTTCCGAAAAAGATCAATTTTTAGATCGATTCAAATCGAAATCTGATGAATCGATTCACACAAAAATCGAGGTTTATTAGAGCGATTTCACAAAAATCTATATTTTTTTCATTTACTTACAGATTTTATATTTACAATATCAAAAGATACAACAAAGTACAGATTACAAACGTAACTTATTTTTTATTTCTTTAATTCGTTAATTAGAGCACAGCAGTTTTGCAAGTTTTTGAATAGATGAACTGTCATTCTTTACGACTTTTAGTATGCTATGTATGCATAAGTCAGCATCCTTCGAGAGAGTATTTCGCTATGCAGCTTCAAAAAATATGGAATAACATACCACCACATCTTAGGCAGCTAAGCTCTATTACTGGCTTTAAATGTCACATAAAACAGTATTACTTATAAAATGCGCAAAAATACCTAGGCATGGTTAACACTACCACTAGCATATCCTATATTTGATGGTTATTTGAGAAGTACATTTTATGTTTGTTATTATGTTGGTACAGTTTCACGCGCTGTATCTTGTTTATAATTAAGTATATAATTTGTGTTTTTTATATTATACCTATACCTATTTTATTAATCATTTATCATATGAGTATATATATATGTTTTTTTTTAATGGAGCTTACGTACAGTGATTGCTCTTGCAGAAGTACACGGTAACTGGTTTTGGAGATGTAGACGAATGCAATTCAGAGGGCCAATAGAAAATCAGCGTTAGGTTTCCATTCTGACATCATTCTGAATTGGTTCCTATCTTTTGGCATTACCCTGAGGCGCTAGTTTTAAGAATAATTTTTTTTCCCTAATTTTAATTGGCTGTTCGTTCTTGAAACGGTTTCTCTTTGTTTTGACTTTGTTTCTGTGTTCTGGTGCCTTGTGTGTGTCGAAATAAATATTTTTTCATTTTTCTTTCTTTATTTTATACAACTAATGGTAATTTTTTTTTTTTTTTGCGCCCGAAGCAATTAAAGGGCTACCCTATACGTAGGGAGGTGGAAAATGCATTACGCATACCACGATAGCCGGTCTATCGTGGTTATGAGGGGCTCACTGTCCTACCGGGGACCCTAAGTGATACCCTCTAAAAAACCGCCTTTGGGGACAGGCAACCGGCTGATTAAGCTCTATTGTGCCTTATCATGAGCGACCCTCTTTTGGGAAAAGAGGGCGCAGGCGGCTAAGTGCCGCTGAGGGAGTGCCTACGAAGGCAAATTAATGTTAGATATTACAATAATTTTATTTAATTAGAGTTGGCCTGAGCCGCCAGGAGACAGTTCAGGTCGTTTGAAAGTTTATTAGGCGGGTCCGAGAGAGAGCTTCTCGGCCTGCGGACACGATAGCGAGAGGGGGGGTGGGGCTGCATAAGAAGCTGCCTCACGAATTAAATGGTTTGGGTGCGACTCTGAGGCTTTGAAGAAGTTCTCAGAGAGTTTTTTAAGAAATTGTTGAATTGTTGGGAGCTCTAAGTCCCGATGAAGGTCGGCATTGCGGACGTACCACGGTGCGTTCGCAGCTCGACGACAGAAGAGGTTCTGAACTATTTGGAGTTCATTTAAAATGTTAGGGTTTGCGTGGGCAAAGACGGGGCCCGCGTAGGACATGACTGGACACTAATGGTAAATAATCTTATAGTTCTTATAAAAACCGAAAAAGATTTACTTTCGATTTTCTAGGCTGAAATATCGATTCTGCCATGCGTGGCGTGCATTAGGTATACACTATACAGTAATCTATGCATTAGATATTCTGTGATCAGTGAGTGTGAGTTGGTTTAGTCAAAGGTACTCTGTGGTGTGAGTATTGCACAGGATGACAGGAGTATTGTCATTTGTCAAGTCAAGTATTGTGCTTGTGCTCAGCTGTGGTGGTCTGTTGATGTTTCTACTCGATTTTTTTTATTTTTCTTAGTACGCGTGACTGTTGTCTTGTCTGTTACAACTTACGATATTCGACTGTCTGACGATGAATGTTTTGCTTTCACTCACTAGGTCTCTTTAAACACCTAAGTTTTATCGAAGAGTATTTGAATATTAAATGACTAAATTTTATGTTTGCAGTTGAAGCCTGTTAGTTTATTGTTTGTGATAGTGTTTGTAGAACTTTCAAGATGCCTGTGACTTTAGTAGACAGGTTACCCTTGCCGAACCTCAAGGTTTATACGACGGGAAGTGTATTGCTACTTTCTGTTGCTGTGTATTATGCTGTGAGTGTAACGAATGACCCGAACTGGAGAACAAATACTACTCTTCAGCGGAAAGAAGCTGCTGTAGTCGGTTCTGATGGGGAGTCAGTTAATTCACCGCCTGCAGTGTTAGCGCCCGTGTATGCCGCCAATGATACCAGGAATTTAACTGAGCAGGTTGTTGAAATAATGACTTTCATGATGCAGGAGCCACTATGTATGTGGGTGAGTAGTAGTGCTATTTGCATAATAAATGTGTAAAGTTTATGCTTGCTACTCGTTTCTTTTGTTTTATTAATGCTTTTGAAACCTTAAATATAATCTAAGTATTAGTACACTAAAACCAAAATTAGAGAAGTTTTCGTCCTCGTACAACTTTATTGTAGGATTAACTACCACCAGCGATTTTTCTGAACTGATTCAACTTAAGGGCTTTCAAGAAAAGAGCCTACTCTTTTTTAAAGGGCTGGCAATGCATCTGCAATTACCCTAATGTGGCAGTTGTTCATGGGTAGCGGTAGTTACTTACATTCAGGTGAGCAGCATGTTTGTATGCACCTCTTATATATAAAATAAGAATGGAATGTATGTACCTACCATTGGTACTTGGTACAGCACCTTATAGTATCTTAAAATGATTTTAAAGAATATAAGAAGTACCTTGTAACAAAAAGAATTAAATGAGCCCTTTAAAATGATCCATTTCATAAACTTTTAATCATCAAATGGTTTCTCCATTATGCAATTTTATAATGTTATGACTCCATTGATGAATTTTATTATGAAAATTTTATTTGTATTTTAACTTAGAGGCAATTTAGTACTTATCCATATTATTTTAGAAATATTGAATAACATTATAAATGCAGGTGTATTGTAGTTAAGTAGACTGTAAATGTTATTTAACACTAACACTGTCGTCAGTCATATTTTGAACGCAAAACTCCAAGGATTAACACTTTAACAGCCGATCACATATTGGGTCTGTGATGCAGCTCTTTCCTAGGACACCAATGACATATTGAGTATGTGATCAACTTACATATTGTTTATTTAAAAATCACGCATTAAGTACATCATCATCACATAACCTAGACTGAGTGGTGTTTTTTAGTTATGCATACATGCATCACTTATCGATATGCGGTGTGGGGTGTAGGTGTGAGGAAGGGTTTTGTCGAGTGTGGCACCATTGCTTGCTACTATGAGCACTGAAAAAAAAGAATAAGTGGCAAGAGTGTGCAATGTTTGTGCTGACATAGCAAAGAAAGAAACTAGGAAATGTGCATGTAAAGTAACTATTTTTCTACTCTCCAGACTGTAATGTTATTACACTGGTGGATATATGTAATTAGTTTATGTTAGAGTATTTGTTAGGGTTCCGTAGTCAACTAGGAACCCTTATAGTTTCGCCATGTCTGTCTGTCCGTCTGTCCGTCCTCGCTTAATCTCTGTGACCGTTAGCACTAGAAAGCTGAAATTTGGTACCAATATGTGTATCAATCATGCCGACAAAGTGGTAAAATAAAAATTGGAAAAAAAATGTTTTATTAGGGTAGCCCCCCTATATATAAAGTGGGAAGTGATTTTTTTTAATTTCAACCCTAACGTGTGATATATTGTTGAAAAGGTATTTAAAAATGAATAGGGGTTTACCAGAATAATTTTTTGATAATGTCAATAATTTCGGAAATAATCGCTCCTAAAGTAAAAAACAATGTGTCCCCCCCCCTCTAACTTTTTGAACCATAAGTTTAGAAAATATGAAAAAAAATCTGAAAAGTAGAACTTTATAAGGACTTTCTAGGAAAATCATTTTGAACTTGGATGGAAAGTCGGAGCGCCTGCCGCGCGAGCGTGCAATGTTGCACGCTCCATGTTCGCGCACGTACCCACTACCGGGAGCAGTTGCAGGAGCGCGGAGCGCTGCTGGAGCGCGAACATAATGGATACCCACCTAAACTTATAAGTGGGAACACTTATTGTGACGGACGGGAAACTACGGAACCCTATACTGAGCGTGGCCCGACACGCTCTTGGCCGGTTTTTTTTTTTGTTTTCATTTTCGCACACCATATTTAACATTTATTTTCAAATATAACAATAATTAACAATTATATGTTTGGTAATTATATCTCATTATAGAATAAAAGAAATTAAAAAAATTATGCATATAGCACTTAAAATATTGAGACAAATGCCATTTGAAAGCCAGTCCACATGATCCTCAAGTACACTTTTAGGATCCAATAGGAGCTCACATTTTTAGAACCCATTTGCAATGTTAGGGGTTTTTCGCATCTTGGATTGTCACTGAAACAACTTGTGTTTTTCTTGCTCTGTTCATATTAAATTAAACTACTGGAAAATAGTGTTCAATCAAAGTGCTATTTGTGTTGTTTTTGGAGATTGATTCATTCACATACTACATTGTAAATTTATAAATATGGTAAAACTGTGACTTTGAATTGCATTAGTCTTGTGTTTAAATAGTGTTTTACATTTGATAGAATCCGCTTTCTAACATTTTCTTTTACTACCCTCTTAAAATTTGACATTCTCAGCTGTCAAAAAGTGACCATAAACAATACCGGGTTACCACATATACAGGGTATTTTCGTAACGCTCCCGAAAACGAAGACACTATAGTACTAACAATACAGTTGACGATGGGACCAGGTTAAAATCGATCCCAATGAAAAAAAAACATCTTTTCACAATGTTTTATTAGCTTTATTCACACTCCATCATGTTAGTACAGTTAAATGATACAATAATTTCATAAAAGAAATCATGAAAATACTGAAAAATAAAACCAGCAGTGAAAATTAAAATGGTACCAGCTGACTATAGGGTCAAAAACGCGCGGACGCTGAACTCTTTCATTTAGCTTGGTATGAATACAATTTTGAATACAATTTACAAGGCCAACATGTGAAAAATTCCCGCTTGGCCGCCCATCGCGACTACCGCAAGGACCAAGGACACACGAACTACGCAGTACGCATTAGTTTCGGCGGGAAGACAGTTCTGTGTCGACGTGCGCGTGAGCCTCCCGTTTATACTAGCGTTTATACTATATAGCGTGAGCAGTTCAGTTGTTTTGTGTATTAAATTCTTGTTGTTATTACTTTTATTGTTACGTTTAGTGTTTGTTGTTTTGTTTTAAAAATGCCTAACGCGTACGTTTATAGTGCTCGTGAATACGGCAACATGTTAATATGTCTTGGAGAAGCCTGCGGAATTGCTGCGGGTGCGTTACGAATTTACCGAGAAAAATTTCCGGCCGCTCGACACCCAACTGACTCCCGTCTGATAACAGCAGCATTTCAGCGAGTGTTGGAAAATCGGCCTGTACTAACACGATAGAAAAAATGATTAGTTTTGCATCGGGATCTCATCAAATGTATCCTTAATACTATCGTCTGTCTTCGTTTTCGTGAGCGTTACAAAAATACCCTGTATAAAGATAGACTACCTAAACCATACTACCATTTGGGAGCAATAAATTCAAAATGGCACAGTGTTTCAAGTGTAATGGTCGTAATGATGATAAGGCCGCAAAAATTAATTGCAAAGGCTGCAAAAAAGAGTAATATTTAATAAATGCAGTGGATTAACTGCAACAGAAATGCGTGTTGTTGCACTTCAATCACCCAAATTGTCATACCTATGTGGTGAATGCGAGGAGGGGCTAAGGCAGATTCCAGATCTTCGCAGACTTGTAACAGAGCTTCAACAGCAGTTTCAAGAGTTAAAGACAAATCATATAAACATAGTGAATTTGGACACAATGATAAATGAATGAAATGAAAATTCAGGAAAGAAAAAATCGTAGTCGTAACCTTATTGTGTTTGGAATGCCTGGATCTACAGCAAATTCACCAGAAGACAGAAAAAGTCATGATAAAGACCAGATTTCTAAAACTATTACGTCACTGGCAACTTCCGAACCGGAAATCCCCACTGTCTTCCGTTTGGGTAAACCTGTATCCGAAACTGAAAAGCAAATGAATATACGCTCTTTCAGTTGGACAGAAGAGGAAAAAAAAGAGGAGGAGTAGCAATGTATGTTCCACATGAATAAATCTAATAAGAAACCATGGATAAATAAGGAAATTTTGGATTTAACAAATGGAAAAAAGAATTCTAACAAACCTCTCAAAAAAATTATTAAATTGTCAATATATAGCAGAGCTCATTTTGAATCAAATGTTATAGGTTCAGGACTAAAAGATTTCTATGGATACATTAGAAGACAACTGAATTCTAAAGTCACTATTCCTAACATTCTTAGAAACGAGTCACAAGAACTTGTAGATGAACCACAAAAAATCGCGGAGCTGTTTGCAGATCAGTTCGTTAACAGCTATGTAAGAGAACCAGATGGACCAATTCCCTCCATAAATATGCCAACGGTAAGAAGCTCAATTGATGACGTAAAATTTACAGCCGAGATCGTTCGAAAGACCTTGTTACCATTTGATGATGCTACTGCTACTGCTACTGGTCCTGATGGAATACCATCCATATTACTAAAGCGATGCTCATCATTGCTTGCTGAACATATATCAAACATTATGAACAAATCCATGGATGATGGATGCTTACTCGCTGATTGGAAGAAAGCTACAGTCGTACCTATTTATAAAAAAGCTGAGACCTAGTAATTACAGACCAATAAGTTTGATAAGTATCCTCTGTAAAGCCATGGTCAAGATCATAACTTAAAAATTAAGAGAATTTTTGATTTTAGATGAACAGCACGGGTTTGTACCAAGGTGATCAATCATTACAAATATGTTACAATGTGTTAATGAATGGGTCACAAACCATGACAATGGGTTACCCACAGATTGTGATATATCTTGCTTATGAGAAAACTTTTAACCGTGTACCATTAAGGCGACTTATATGCAAATTAAAACACTAATCGGTATACGCGGGAAATTGTTGGCCTGGATCAGTGATTTTCTGTCAGACAGAACATTCTGCGTAAGAGTTGGAAGTATAATGTCTAAACCCAGAGAAGTACTTAACGGAGTTCCGCAGGGATCTGTTCTTGGACCATTGATATTTATCCTATATTTATCGGATTTGAAGAGCATGTTACAGCTCCCGTTCTCATTATTTGCCGACGACACAAACATTTTCGGAAACCCTATTACGCAATATCAAGTTATACAACAGGATCTAAATGCCATCTGCGATTGGAATAATAATTACTCCTAACACTGAACGCGGACAAGTGTACGATTCTCCATGTAGGGAAAAATAATCCACGAAATATATATTATCAAGGTGATCACCCATTGTCTTCCGTAGAATCACAAAAAGACCATGGCATTACAATAATCAGTGACCTCAAATGGGAAGCTTATATCCTTAACATGGTAAAATAGGCAAATTCCATGATGTATATGATTCGGAAAAAGCTTTATGTGTCTTACTCTTAAAACATTTAACAACATCTACCAAACGTACTTAAGATTTCTTTTGGAGTTTGCAAATTTGATATGGAACCCGTACTTTCGTAAAGATATAATACTACTAGAAAATGTTCAAAGGCAGGCCACAAAAATGGTAAAACAACTGCGAAACATGACATATGAGCAGCGAATGAAAAAGCTTAACCTCACAACACTAGAGTGCCGTAGAAAGAGAGGTAGTCCGATTGAAACACACAAAATACTGAGAGGATATTGCAATGTTCCTACTCTGCAAAATTTGTACTTAATAAATAGCAACAAGCGTCTGAGAGGACATCAACTTAATCTTTGCTATAGGGCTGCCAAGCGGAATCCTATGAAGAATTTTATTACAAATCGTGATGTCACCAACTGTAATAAGCTACCGCAAAATGTGATTGATGCTCCTACATTCAATGCCTTCAAGAATAGATTGGATAAAATCTCCAAACGTCACCACACACATCAGCTTTTTAGCTGCTAGTGTGTTTCTGTATAAATAATAATAATATATCTATACGAAGATGTTGCGTTGGGTGTTATAAACAACTTATTGACATTGGAAGTCTTCCAAAAACTGCAAGAACAAAAGCCAAAAGAGTGATAACGCACTGTAATAAAATGTAGAAAAACTAATTGTCTCCAATGTTTTTCTGAAGTTCCATTGAACATATAAAGCAATTTTCATATATTTTTAACTACATACACATAGAAAAAATTAAATGTTTTACGTTTTATTTATTTATTAGTGCTCTTTTGGCAAGTCCTGATAAATAGAGCAAACTAACTCAGAAGTCCATGAAGTTAGAGCTCGAAGAAAGAGACAGGACGCGTGTACCGTTTACGGTACACGGACTTGACGAATCCGTGCAGCGTGTACCTACTGTATTCGGTGCACTGGACAGCTAACGTGTTAAATGCTTGTTTATTTTTATAACTGATGTGAAAAACATACTAATTATAGTTAATAGAGGCTACTTACTGCAGCTTATGAGTTATGACTTCATTGATTTTATTTATTGTTATTATTAGATTGTTTGATAATTGAATACTCAGAATTTTGTAGTATCTTCGTAATAACAATTCAAAATAATAAAAAACCATAGTTGCCAACCCTGCCAAAGGAGGTTACTATGGCTTATGAGGTGATCTAAGGGAGGGTTCAGCAGAGTACTTTCGATAGGCTGTAAAGAATTAATGAATCTTGTGTGTTGTGTGAGTAGCGCAGAAAACGGAAACTCTCGTAATCGATTTATTGATAGTTGTAGTGGAATAAGAAAAGGAGAGGCAAAGATGAAGAGGCCATGCCGTAGTCTTTATACTACCATAACAGTGCCCTTTTTGTGTACGTTCTGTGAGCAGTCCACATACGTAGATTTGCGATTTCTTAACGCATGACACACCAGAAAATGATCACCCCATTGTTCAGTACATGGCTTTCTTCCAGAATCAGGCTTTCTCATGATGGAACCTATTCCCATAGACTGTCGAATGACTCACATTTAGCCTCTGAGCCACGAAGCACTGGCAGCAACCCTCGTCAAGCAGCGCAATCATTTTGCTGGCTTTTGTCATTTTATCTACCATTTTGGAGATCGCTAAACAACAATAACAATACTTTAAAATGTCAAGGAAAGAAGATAATTCAATAAAAATGCAATAAAAGTTATTTAGTCGATATTGGCCGTGTAGTGGTGGTTGAGAATATCCACTACCCCATATCTTCCCGTGGGTGTCGTAAAAGGCGACAGAGGGAGACAGGCAGGAGATGGGCAGCAGCATCTTCCTGATAACAACTGTGACGTAATAAAAAACTGCGGTTGCCAACCCGCTCGCCAAGCGTGGCAACTATGGCAAATACCCCCCAATGAATAAATACACAAACAGACGGCCCCCAGTCCCCGGCGGCCCCGCTATTCCTGGCTACGGTGGCGACCATGGTAATGGCGGGGCAGGGGGTGCTAAGAATCTCCGGTGGAGGTTCGGTTGCCACCTACGACGACTCGACCTGGCAACATATAACGCACGCACCCTGAGGACTGACGAGAAGATACTAGAGCTGGAAGAAGAGGTAGACAAGTTGCGCTGGCATATTATTGGATGGTCCGAGGTCCGAAGAGAGGGGGAGGACACGGCAATCCTCGAGTCCGGCAACTTGTTCTATCACCGGGAGGGCGACCATCTGTCCCAAGGAGGTGTCGGATTTATCGTCCACAAGTCTCTCGTCAACAACGTTGTAAAGATTGGGAGTGTGTCGACGAGGGTCGCGTACCTGATACTCAGAATCACCAAACGGTATTCGCTGAAGGTCATTCAGGTTTACGCACCAACCTCGGCACATCCCGATGAGGAGGTGGAGGAAATGTATGAGGATATTTCCAGAGCCATACATTCCTCCAAAACCCACTACACTGTTTTGATGGGAGACTTCAACGCAAAACTAGACACAAGAGAAAGCGGTGAGCTGAAGGTAGGGAAATTTGGAGTAGGGCAACGGAACCGAAGGGGCCAGCAGCTGGCCGACTTTATGGAGAAAGAGGGACTCTTTATGATGAACTCTTTCTTCCAGAAGCGGCCCCACAGGAAGTGGACCTGGTCGAGCCCCGACGGTTCGACAAAAAATGAGATTGACTTCATTATGACGACCAGACGCCAACTGTTCAGTGATGTCTCAGTGATCGCAAGGGTGAAAACTGGCAGCGATCACCGAATGGTTAGAGGCACACTGAACCTAAACGTTAAGTTGGAGAGGTCTCGTCTAATGAAGTCAACGCTCCGTCCCCCTCGTGCTCTAATCCAGAATCCCGAAACCTTTCAGCTCGAGTTACGTAACCGCTTCCAGTGCCTAGAAGAGTGCAATGCAGTGGACGATATGAACGACAAGCTCGTGGAAACTGTCCATGCGGTCGGAGCTAAGTTCTGCAAGACCCGCCGCAGAAGAACACAAAAACTCTCCGATCACACTCTTAATCTCATGGCTGTTAGACGGGAGATGAGGCTGCAATCGTCAACAGATTTGACAGCATACAGGCAACTGAACAGACAGATCTCCAAATGCATGCGGCGAGACTTACGCAACTTTAATACCTCTCGTATTAAAGAAGCGATCGAGCGGAACCAGGGCTCCAAAGTCTTTGCCAGAGATCTGTCTGCCAGAAAGAGCCAACTGTCAAAGCTGAAGACTGAGTGTGGCAACATCGTTTCCGGGACACCTGAGATTTTGAGTGAGATTGAGAGGTTCTATGGGCAGCTGTACACATCATCGTTGGAGCCACACGCAAGTGTGAGTAACGATCCAAGAGCAAGTCTTATCCGACACTATTCCGATGATATCCCGGACGTCAGTCTGAGCGAGATTAGAATGGCTCTCCACCACCTTAAAAACGGCAAGGCCCCGGGCGAGGATGGAATTACAGCGGAGCTTCTGAAAGCGGGTGGAAAACCGGTACTTGAAGTCCTTCGGAAGCTCTTCAATTCCGTCCTCCATGGTGGCACTACTCCCGAGGCGTGGAGCAGAAGCGCGGTGGTTTTGTTCTTTAAGAAAGGCGACAACGCTCTCTTGAAGAACTACAGACCGATTTCCCTTCTGAGCCGCGTCTACATGCTAATTTCGAGAGTCATTACGTATCGTCTCGCACGCAGACTCGACGACTTCCAGCCTCCCGAACAAGCCGGTTTCCGAAAAGGCTTCAGTACCATAGACCACATACATACCCTGCGGCAGATTGTACAGAAGACCGAAGAGTACAATCTGCCACTTTGCCTGGCATATGTGGACTATGAGAAAGCCTTTGATTCCGTCGAAATTTGGGCGGTGCTACAGTCTCTTCAGCGGTGCCAAGTTGACTGTCGGTACATCGAAGTGCTGAAGTGTTTGTACAGTAGGGCTACGATGGCTATCCGAGTACAGAACCAGAGTTCGAAACCTATCCAACTGCAGAGAGGTGTAAGACAGGGTGATGTTATATCCCCGAAACTCTTCACCGCTGCGTTGGAAGACGTTTTCAAGCTACTGGACTGGAAAGGATACGGTATTAACATCAATGGCGAGTACATCACTCACCTTCGATTTGCCGACGATATAGTCATTATGGCAGAATCCCTGGAGGACCTAAGCACTATGCTCAATGACCTCAATGGTGTCTCACAATGGACAGGTCTTAAGATGAACATGAACAAAACAAAGATCGTGTTTAATG